CGACCAGTTTGTCGGTTTTCGCTTGTAAGTCTTCGATTTTGTGTGACATCAAACAGAAATCATCCACGCGCGAAATCCAAGTCTTCTAGGTTCTTCACGTCGGTCCAGGATATCCCTGTCTTCTCGTTTCCCACTGTCTGACGCACAATCCAGTCTACCACAATTAGGAATATCATTGGTGATAATAAGCACCCTCGTCTGACTCCTGTGTTTACTGCAAATACCTCGCTGAGTTTTCCGTTGTGGATCACTTGACATGTGGTGTTGTCGTACAGCTGTTGAATAAGGTTGATGAATATTTCGGCTATGGGTAATCCACTAAGCCCTACTTTTAGCAGACATCTTCATATCCAACCTTGATGGAACAAATTTAAAGCTCATAATCTACGAAACAATTTCTTATTGTCGATATGTCAATGATATACTTGTAGTGTGCAACACTGAAAGTCATGTTCGGATTATTCAAGGAGGTAAATACAAATTTTGAATTTATTATACAACATGGAAATGATGGAAAATTCCATTTCCTTGATTGGCATTGCCATGCAACGCCTAGAAGATGGTAGTGTCTCCAGAGGTCAATTTACCGAAAGCCTATATGGATAGGACAATATCTACGCTTTCAATAGTTTTTGTCGAAATAGCTTTAAACCAGCACTAGTTAAGATCCTATACTATAGAGCTAGGAGAATATGCTCAACAGAGAAATTAGAGGAGGAATTTATGTTTCTCGAAAAGATGTTGAAGAGCAGCGGTTACCCTCAAAGGTTTACTAACAAGTGCGGAAGTTCTGAAGGCTCAAATATCAAGCGAATCACAGTGGGAAAAAAGCCCATCTACATTCAACTTGACTTTAGCAATTGTCAACAGAAGATTTAGGACGTCACTAGACACAGCCTATCATGCAACTAAGCTGGTTTCCGTCTATCGAATAACTTGCTCTTTGATGCAATCGAAAATCAATGGATATCCTTCATATGTTAACTCTAACTGTGTACACAAATTTAAAAGTACCTGCGGTAGCAGTTACATTGGGAGAGAAAAGCATATGGACGCCTCCGATTTTCTGAACATGCACCAAAAAACCTATGTATAAAGGGAACAAATAGTTTCAACTGTGTCATTACCGGGCATTTCCTTGACACAGGTCATGAGGTGGAAGTCATGAATTCCTTCGAAATTATCAATAAGCAGAAGAGTTCAATTCTCCTTAAGTTTATCGAAACAAACTCTATCAAGCGCCTGAAAACCGATTTATGCGTTCAGAAAGAAGAAGTGGTTATCAGTCTTTCTTTACCCTGGTAACTGGACGTTTGTACATTTGTACATAGCTGAATCATTGGCTACTCAGGATCTGAAACTGGACCTCTGCATTCAAAAAGCCCCACATGAATTCATTCCCTCACACTACAGTGGCCAGAGTAACGTTCTCACTATAATTTTACTCCATTCTATTATGTAGGTTTACTATAATTATTATTATTATTCTCATCATCCTTATTTTACTATCAGTATATTTCTGTTTATTAATAACATTGCATTTTCATACAGATTCTATATAAAAATACTTTATCGTCTTTCTACTAGTTCTGATCCATTCTACACAATTACAGTGATTAGTCATTATCTCACACTTATACCGCCAGGCCAATTTCTGCCTCTGTTTGTCTAATTTCCAATTAGTCATTGCCGTCTAGACTACACCTTACATTACGTAATACATTTTTCGAGTACAATTAATATATGTGTATAACTTGGGCCCTGTGGTAGTAAGTAATTCCATATTAGTTTGTTTATTAGATATATCACACAGTGAAACAGTATTATTTACTGGATGACAAGGTTTCGAACAAAATTTATTATTGTTCATAATCATATCATCAATTATAATCACACGATGTTGAAACTTGAGTTTTATAGTTTCTTTGCTTTTTCCTATTTCTCGTAGGGGTATTAGAATTTTCCAGATGTCTACGTGGACGGGTGTTGAATCATTCTTATTACACGTGTTGGTTTGCAGTTGATTCGATAAACAATGCTTCCATTATCAATCTCTCCCTCCACCCTGCTGTTACATTAGATTTTAAAACTGTCATCCTATCCCATCCTATTGTGTGTAGCTGCATGTACTGCCATAGCTGAACTATTCTCTAGATTTCTTATCTTATTCGGGTAAACCAATCTAGATTTTTATGTTCAGCTAGTCTAACTGCCCCTGTTCTACTAGTTTGACCTGACAATCATCGCAGGTAGAGTATTAGATAAACTAAATTGTTTTGTTTTAAAGGCTCCACAGGGTCCTTTAACCGACAAAGCTTGTTTCTAATTGAGTTTGTGGGTTGGAATGCCATTTTTATTCCTGCCTTGTTAAGAATTCTGTGTAAGGCTTCCGAGGTTCCTACCTTGTATGGAATTACTACTGATGATTTAGATTCCTTATTATTGGTGTCGTCATTAATATTATTATTATCACTATTATTATTATCATTATTATTGTTATTATCACTATCGCTACTATCATTATTTATTTTACTTTAATACTACTGTTGCATTTCCTTTGTCTGACTTTGTGATTACTATATCCTTGTTATTCTTAAGGTGTTTCAGGGCTTCTATCTCTGGTTTCGTCAGGTTAGGCTTTCCACTATTTTGCCGGTTTAATGTTAGTGCACATTGTGCCCGTACTTCATCAGCCGTAGTTTTGTCTATCCCACTTAGTGCTATTTCTATTTTAGGGATGACATCCTCAGGTTTCAGCTTGTCTACCACTACATTGAAATTTAGTCCTTTTCTAATACACTTATTTCCGTAGGACTTAATATATGTGTTGAGAAATTGATAACCCACTTTGTTTTATCGATCGCCGTTGACTTTAGACTGCTGATTTCATCGTTCTGAGATGAAGATTTCTCTTCTAATAATTTATTGAACCTTTTGATTTGATTATTTTTCGACTTTTTGAAAGTTGCTGATTTGGCATTGCTGGAGGACCGTGTTACAAGATCATAACATCCACATTGGTAACTATTCCCATTAGCTTTTGCTTTAACAGCTCAATTTCATAACTGATATGGTGCAACGTTTTAACAATTCTGTGTATCTCTTCTTTTAGACAACATTTTTGTAGACTTCTATCCTGCTTCTAACTCTGTCCGTTGGAAAAGAAGCTTTGTTTATCGAATCAACTGCAAATACATGTAATAGGAATGATTCATCACTTGTCCCCGATATCTGGAAAATTCTACTACCCCTACGACGACAAATAGGAAAGGACAATGAAAACTGTAAAACTCAAATGTCAAAGTCGTGTGATTACAATTGATATGATTATGAACAATAAATTTTGTTCGAAACGTCATCCAGTATGTAATAATACTGTTTCATTGTGTGATATATCTAATAAACAAACTAATATGGATTTTTCGAGTACAAATTTTACCAGTATCTGATTGGTGGTCTTATGATTTCTTTGTTAAATATAATTACGATTGTACACCAAATTATGAAAATGAATCGTCGAAAAGAAAATTTTCTTCGCTGTTTACATCTTTTTCATATATCTCAATGTAGGAATATCCCATTCACAGAAATATATTTCAGATAAGTGGAATAGAGTGAGTCAGTTGTATCAGTGGGAGCGTACACTCTCGTCAAGCAAACAGGAGATTCGTGCTCTCTTAAACTTCGCTTATTTAAGGCAGTAGTAGTAAGCCCAGAAAACAGGTAAGCTTAGGTGTGAGGCCGGCGATCCCAAGCGCCCCCCCCCGTAACGGAAACCTTGCGACACCAATGTTACTAAAACTTTTAGAAATTTTGGAGCTCTATATCCCACACAAAACACAAAATAATGCAGAAAACAATCAGAATAAAAGAGAAATGATTGACCTGAGAGAAACTTCGAAAACTAAAACCGCAACCTCACCCTGGGTTAATCAGTGACACAGGCAGATGAAAAATACACTTAATTGAGTGAGCACAAAAACGGAATTAAGGATGTGTTTAAAAAATAAAGCATCATTAGCTACTTGTGTTATATGTGTGTGTGTTGACAAACTTACACATTGGTCTTTAGTGCTAAAGTTAAAATATTTATTGGGTAATAATAATGTTATTATTGTCATTATGAAGTGATAAAGTAAGATCCAATACACATACACTACTACACCCCTATGAATTCTCTTTGATTATGATCAAAGTTGAAGCATCTCATCTCATTGATCCTATGTGTCTACGTTCTCCCTGCCGTGTAAGATGGTAGATGCAATACGGTGAGCAATATTCAGGTTAGGCTTCGATCGAGTGCTAGGTAAGCAGGGAGGGGTAATCAATCGACAAGGTTGTGAAGCAGCTGCATTGATTGAGGGAGATGGTTAGGACACGTGTTACGGATACACGCCTAGCCATCGATCGCCTTCCTCGATGGGTTATGTTAGCTGATATAGGGTCAGGTTGGGAAAGAGCCAAACCAAAACATGGCCTCATTAGTCAATGAAATGCACAACAGTTAGGGTTAGGCCAGCCACGTAGGAAGGTGTAGACTGGCTGACTGACTGGTTGGGGTCCTCGGGGATTTAGAACCCAATGACGGCTGGAGACGATCGGTGATATGGCTCAAAATCGTTCTCAATGGCTGGTGCAGATGCATCAACTCCTTGTGACTTATCATTGCCAATAAAAACATATTGTTCTTGTAAACACCAGTTTATACAAAATGTAAATTATTATTATTACTATTCCTTTTGCCTTATACCTCTGTTTAATGTCTCTATTTTGCATTTCTTTTCACTTTCTTCTTCTCTGGCTTTGTGTACTGAGTGAAGTGTGGCAACTCGAAGTGTTGCACATCGTTGCAAAGCTCTACGCTGAAAATAGTCAGTCAGTCAGTTACATATTTTCATTAGGTATAATTATTGATCGTTTTACAGAGGGACTTCAGAATATATTTATTTTGAAAAGCATATATATATACACATATATAATTCTATCACATAACAACAAACCTTGCTTTTTTGATCTTCATAACTCAACACCTTACGAGTTTGATCTGCATTGAAACGCATCAAAGAGCAAAGGACTTTTGATAAAGTCTACATAAAAACAAACAAAAAAAATACAGAATATGACTTTTTGAATGAAGTAGAGTAAATGTGTAAACGTATTAGGCTTTTGTTCTCTGGCCAATGGAGTTCAGGTCAAAATTATTTCGCCTAAATGTACCAGTATCACAACAGATTGTGAATAAAATTAAACAAATAATTAAGTCATTGAAATAAGAACAAATTAGTTCAGCGTTCAGCGAAGAGTCTCTTTTCGGCGAATTCATTCACTTAGCTGTACAGTCGCAAATACATAAAATCAATTTTGTGTGTGTGTGTGTGCGTACATTAGGTTTGTCAAAATCAAAATAACAGTCAGTGTGAGTTGTTGATTACATCATCAAAATAAGTAAGAAATTAAAATGTGTGATTAATAATCAAAGTTGTAACTAAGTGGGGTGAAGATTGGTAAGATGTGAGTAGGGTTACGTAATATAGACATGTTTAGAAAGATTAGATGCTAGTGAAGGAGTATGGAGACAATTATGAAAATAAACTAGATAATAGGTGAAAAGATTGAATGGGTTAGTTATTAAAAATTATTATACGAAGATTGCAAAAACAAAATTTGATAACAAAATGTTGGTGACAGATAAACATGAAATTAAACCCACGGTAGTAGGAGGGGGTGGAGAAGTTTCTTCTGTGTGCATAAATCAGGCTTTTCTATCCAAATCGCTAAGGCTTCGGCAATACAAACTATACGGAAGCTTGTCGATTTTGGAAGGCTTCTTTCGACCTAATAGATGACTTTGAACGACTTCTCCTTGCAAATCGAATGACCAGTGTTGAGTATATGCTCAATAATGGCGCTCCTTATTGCTCCGTTGTTACCTTTCCGTAGCCAGGCGGGATAGTGTTCTTGAACTCTTTTAGATAAAACTCGCATCGAACGACCTATATACCTCGCTCCGAAAGAGCAGGTGAATTGGTAGATACACATGGAAGTGGTCAAATGCGATCGTTTATCTTTAGAGTAGTTGAAGAACAATGGCCGGGAGGAAAATGTCAGTCGTAGTGTGGCAGCGAAGAATATCCCTCTGAGAGCAGTAGATATCCTCTTCTTCAAGGTGTCAGCCAGAAGGTCACCTTTGAAGGGTACATTCATGTAGACTATCTTCTTCTGCACTGTAATGGGTTGTTCTTTGTGAGTCTTAGGCTTAATGTGCTTGTCTATAAAACGGGGTGGGTAGCCATTCTCGAGCAGTGTCTTCCTTAAGAGGGCGATCTCGTCCTCTATTGATTCAGGACTACAGATTTTTCGGATTCTAGTCGCCAGAGATATTATCAATTTTCGCTTGCAACTGTAGAAGTTTGTCAACTGACCGTTTCACATAGGTTTTCTGTGTACTGATCTGTTCAAGGTACCATCGGTCTAGAAAGGAGATTGTCTCTTTGGTTTCTACTTCGATTGTAAATTTGATGGCGGGGTGGCAACTACTGAAAACTTGAAGAACAATATTTTGATCACAATTGTTATCACAGATGACGAAAGTATCATCAACATACCTTTTGTATAAGAAGAATTTGTCGATGGTTGCTTTCAGCGGACCGTTTTCCAAACTTGCCATGAAAATATCAGCCAACATCGGACCCAAAGGTGATCCCATCGCCACGCCATCTTGTTGTCTATAGAAGTTCCCATTGAATGTGAACTGGACATTTAGGGTACATCTGAGTAGGAGTTCTTTTAGCTTGGTGGTAGTAGCTTTTAGTAACTAACCCATTCAATCTTTTCACCTATTATCTAGTTTATTTTCATAATTGTCTCCATACTCCTTCACTAGCATCTAATCTTTCTAAACATGTCTATATTACGTAACCCTACTCACATCTTACCAATCTTCACCCCACTTAGTTACAACTTTGATTATTATTCACACATTTTAACTTCATTATTTTGATGATGTAATCAACAACCCACACTAACTGTTATTTTGATTTTGACAAACCTAATGTACACACACACACACACAAAATTAATTGTATATATTTGCGACTGTACAGCTAAGTGAATGAATTCGCCGAAAAGAGACTCTTCGCTGAACTAATTTGTTCTTATTTCAAATAATTAAGTGTGGAGCTATTGAGTCATGCAGACCATCACCGCCACTTATGAAGATACATCTATTGTGAAATGGTTAGAACACGTCTAGTTACCACCTTCTTCGACCGGAAGTGTTAGGTGAAATATAGTTGGGTCATATAAGAGTTAGGTGTGATCAAACCAAAAAGCTAGCACATCAGTCCATAAACTCTTTCACTGTTGTACAATTGGATCGCATCCCAGTGGCTTAATGGTCTACGAGCTCACCTTGTAACCGGAAGGTCCTGAGATCGAACGCCCCTAGTGGTGGGTACGAACTAGTGAGGATTCCTAAACTGGGCAGAAACAGCTATCCAGTACTCCAGTGCTGGTTTCTCAATGGTTCTCCTACCGATGTTAACGCATAACGAAATCCTATAACGAATCAAATGAAATCCTTGCGAACCAACACTTGAATATCTGCCTGATGCTCAATAGTGACTGGGCCTATACAGGTAGGTAGTTACCTAGGTCCTAGTGAGAAGCGGCGATCAGTGGGGTCCATCCTGTCGGGAGTGAGGACAGATGCCTTCCGCTGAGGACATTGGCTGGTGATTACGCTAAAATCGCAAATTAGTAGAAGTTAGAATTCATGGACTGGCAATTTACTCGGTTTCCAGCGACTGAATGGTCTACGAGCTCGCCTTGTGACCGGAAAATCCTGGGTTCGAAACCCCTATAGTGAGTGAGAACTGATGAAGAGTTTCAAGCACTAGGACGAAGCAGATGTCCAGTATTCTCTGCTGGTTTTCCAATGGTTCTTTAACTGATATCAATCCATGGTCAAACAAACTCTTGTAAAATTTTACACGAACATCGAGAAATAGCTTCAACTACAAGAATAAGACTCTCCGCAGTTCCTTTTCACTGAGAAGCTTGAACAAAGTAAGAAAAAGAAGAAATGTGTAGCAGGATAATATGTGCTTATCTGTTTCTTATTATTGTTGTTTTGCGAATCCTTTTTAACTGCTTACAACTCTTTGTTTTTGTGTAAGCATAATCACCAATGGTTAACGACTGTCTGTTTTAACCAATTGATGATGGGGTCTAAGGCTAAAATGGTATCACCTTAAATCTGTTTACATGTTTGACAGTTAACTTAACCTTCAAGCATAAACGTGATCTATACGGATCGATCAACTCAAAGGATGTTAGTAGCGTATAGACACGGGCATTGGAATAGAAACTAGATCAAGTATAAAATACCTTGGAATACTTCCATCCCCTAACCTTAATTTGTCATCCCATATATTGTCAATCTCCGAGAAGATGTTCCGTCTAAGCAATTACATTAAGGAGCTGAGACAATCTGGAATCACGCAATACCCACCTTTACAGTTTGTTAACTCATTGCATCTTTCCTATTGTTCTCTACTGCTCCCCCTCTGGTTTCCCTCCTCTACTGAAAAAGCCCGGTGTCATATCGACAGGGGTATTAAAGGTCATCAGTGAGGCACGTGGTGTGTCACTGAGTCAGTCATCTCGTTACCACTGTAGTCGACAGAGACCTGAACTCATGTGAGAAATGGTCCAGATCCATATTGTCTGACTCTGAACACACCCTCTCTTTTCACAACTTGCGTCTCATCAGGTAGGAATAGAGGTCATTATAAGAGGCTACATGTTCTCACAAATAAGTATAAAAACTCAACGACGCCATAATTTGACCAGCGCACATTCTATGTGATAGAGATAGTGTTAAGCGTGGGAAACCCGAGACTGACCATGGAATTAGCAAAATGATTGGCTCCTTTTTCCTCTCCTATTTGTAATCTATGGTGACACTGTTTCAACTGACTTATAATTTTGGCTGTTAACATATTATTGTCATCATTATTTTACACTTTTTGTACAGTTTTGACTTTATTATCACTGCTAATACCAAGAATGTGCTATTATCAATTCTGGTTACGGTATACCCTGTATTATTATTTCTTGTTTTTGCTGTTGTCCAATAAATTAGATGCATTATTGTATCGAATGCTGAGAATTCTACACTCTATCATAAGTACTGCTTTAGAACAAAGCAGCAGGTCAGGTGTGAGGACAAATACTCGCCGAAGACATTGGCTAGCTGTTGCGCTATATCGTGAATCGGCAGAAGTTAGAATTCATGGGCCATTGGATCAGGTCCCAGTGGTTTAATGGTTTACGAACTCACCTTGTAACCAGAAGGTCCTGGGTTCGAACCCCGGTGGGTGAGTACTGATGAAGAGTCCCATACTAAGATGAAACAGCTGTCCAGTACTCCCGGGTTTTCCAATGTCAGCTCATGATGAAGTCCTGCAACCAAAGCATATTACTATTATTATTAATAATGCCTCAGTAAAATGTTACAGACTGGACTTTTTTTGTCTGTTAAATTTTTTACACTCTCTTGTTCAAACTGTTCACGATAATATGACCAGTGCCAAGAAGATGGAGCACAATGGCGCTGTTTAGTGCATGTTTTTCCGTAACCATAGCATTCCAAGTGGGACATATTGGACTTTAAGTCGCTGTAGGGGCGGTATTGTTTTTACAGAGTGTGATAGCTAGCCTCAATCCCTTTTCTATGGATATAGTGTTTGGTCATTAGGGTGCAACCAAGATGTCACAGGTCTGGTCTTTGGTGTTGTTGATACAGACTTGATTCTATCAGTGAATGTCGAGATATCCTTAACAGGCTATGTGTGACTCATCATCATGATGCACTCTAAATTGATGTTAGACAGTTGAATATGAACGGTAGGATGATATGAACTCAAGTTCCGTGCATGCAAGGCGTATCTGCAGTCTTGAAGGAATTTATGTCCCCTTTGGGATTCAAATCCCCGTCATCCAGTGTTGCAGTCACCTAAGCTACCACTGAGTTATTCAGGCTCTTACGCTTTATCCTTCTTATCTTATTCCTCTGTGTTCCAAGTGGAACATGGGGTATCAGGCTACCGCTTTAAGGTTTAGGTAGCAGTGGGGTCATTTTTTACGGGATGGGATCTCTAGTCTCACGTTCAAACTTCCCTCTTAGGATAAGCGTACGTCCGCGATGGATCTAGCTTTGGATCACGTAAGGTGTAGCTGGCAAGTAGTCAGCCACTGAACCATTATTGCCGCACTAAGCGTTATCCAATAGGCGAAGTTCAAGAATAGCGTCACAGGAGTGCGAACACTCGAATGACCTTGAACGCATGCTAGTGGTTGGTTCAAGAGACCTACGATTATTCGAGGGCGAAAATGAACGCTGTTCATCAGCTCAGGTGCAATTTTCACCCAGATTACATATTTCAATACTGTCTAGATAATGGATTGATAGGACGTACTCGTATATGTAGTTGAGGTGCTTCAATGAGCCTGCAACAGTATTGACAGGTCATTGATGGGTATATATTTAGATGTACGGAGTGTAGGAAACGAACAAGTGTTCGTACTGGTAAGTGACACTCTCAGTTAATTCTCTTCTAGGAACTTTCTTTGCCAATTCGAAACTTTCTTTGACAAATATACTGTTTCTTCGCTGTTAATGGATTTTGAAGTCTGGAGTGAGGTCAACTGCCACTCAGACAGAAAATCCGCTGACGTCTACTGTGCAGTGGTTTCAGTTTTGTCGAGATTTAGCATCATGGAAAATGAACAATTTTACACAAGTGTTGGGGGAAGTCGGTGTTATCGTTCACATCAAAGAAACAGTGCTTATAAAGAAGAAATAGAATCCCGGACGTGCTAGAGCTAACAACATTTGGGTATTAGGAACTTGTGACACCCAAATTGAGAAAGGATTCATTGAACTTATTCTAGACAGGAGTGTCAACACTCTTCTGCCTGGCACTACTATACACCCGGATGAATGGGCAGGATATAACCGATTATCGGATTTAGGATATATACACAACCGAGATTACCATTCCGATGATTTCGTCGATCCCAGAACAGGCACTCATACTAATTCAATAGAGGGTCTCTGGGGGAGATTAAAACACAGGGTAAGAGCAATAAATGACTCTCAAAACCAAGTTATTTTTAGTCACCTGGATGAATAAATGTATAGAAATTGGTTTAATTTAAAAACTGACACTCCCCATTATATGTGGGACGTATTGTTATTTTCAAGTATTGGTTTTGTAGGGATTTTGTTTGATTGCATGGAGGATTTCATCATGAGCTGACATCAGTTAGAGAACCACTGGAAAACCTGGGTCCCAGTGGCTCAATGGTATACGAGCTCGCCTTGTAACCAGAAGGTCCTGGGTTCAAACCCCGGTTGTGGGTGCGTACTGCTGAAGAGTCCCAAACTAAGACGAGACAGCTGTCCAGTACTCCCAGGTTTTCCAGTGGTTCTCTAACATATTGTTATCGCATATCAGAGGAAAATGCCCTGTTTAATGTTTTTTTTCATGTAATTTTTTGTGCAAAACTCCCTCATTTTTCTGACTGGTTGGTTTAAGGTCACTCGTGCGTTCACATCCCTTGAGATGCTATTGTAGGAAATTTACCATCGTATACGCCCCTAATTCACAGCTACTTAGGAACTCGAACCTGTAATCTTCGACTTACGAAATGAATAATATACAAAAACAAAAAAAGTGAACAAACCTTAGAGAAATAATTTTACAAGGTAGGACTTCAGGTGAACATAAAGAAAACAGAGGTGATGAAGATTCCTGGCCAACCCCACCAACAGCAACAACAACAACAACAGACAACAATCAGCCAGCATAAGTGGGAGGAACCTGAAAGAAACAACCTCTTTTACCACCTACCTGGGAAGCATCGTTTCAACTACAGGCAGACGGAACTGACGAGGATATCAAAGCAAGAATCGGAAAAGCAAGACAAGCTTTCACTACTCTCAAGTCTGTGTCGAGGTCAACAGCACTACTCATCATCAAAAATAAGATCCGGATTTTCAACTCCAATGTGAAGTCAGTGCTACTTACTACACGGATCAGAGACTTGGCCAGCGCGTCATAAAGAGCATCTCAAACAAACTACACACCTTCATTAACAGTTGTCTTCGCTCAATACTCAAGATCAGATGGCCAGCCGGCCAGAAAAGATCAGCAACAGGGGGGATCTCTGGGAGCGAACCGACACAGCAGGAACCGATTGTTCAACAAATAGGCAGGAAGAAATGGAGATGGATTGGCTGGCCATACTCTGAGGAAACCAACCATCAAGTGACATCACTAGACAAGCCATTGCTCGAGTGGAACCCGAAAGGGAAGCGGCGAGTTGGTCGTCAGTGCAAGGGTGACTTGGAGGAGGTCATGTGAAGAGGAGATGAAAGCGTGTGGGCAGACTTGGAGCCAGGTGAAGACTCTAGCAGAGAACCGAACGCAATGGAGACGCATGGCTGAAGCCCTATGTTCCTCTAGGAATTAACGGAAACAATAATAATAATAATTTCACTCACTTGAGTTTCACGTCCTTGCATATATTCGAACAAAACATTTTTCAAATACTGAAACAAAAATAGAACAGAATATATTAACGACGTTAAATTAAATATATATTCATAGTTTAAAAGAAAATCTTATTACATAATGTTTCGATACTTATTCCTAATGTTCAGATGTTGGTTAACAGGGACTGGATTGGTTAGAGGTTTGATCGAATGCTGGTATGAGTTAGAGGACCAGTGAGAAACCAGCAGGGAGTATTGAACAGATGTTTCGTCCTAGTTTGGGGTTCATCAACGGTACACATCCACCACCAGAGTTTGAACCCAGGATTTCCCAGTTACCACCAGGCAAGCACTTCTAAACCACTCAGACACACTACGACACCCATCCAATAGCGTATGAATTCCAACTTCTGCCTATTCGAGATACACAGTGCGATAACTATGTTAATCAGAAATAGGATGACGTCACAGTCTGATAGAGGCTTTATGAACTACAAGTTAATAGTGAAAGATAGACTTGGTGATAGCCCACCAATTTCTATTATCCCCCCACGCCACACATCCTTGTCTATCATGGTTTTCAAGTGACCATATAAACATCATCCGAATTCCTATCTTCGTACACGCATGTAGACGTCATTTATAAAAACATTTCGTCCCGCGGGTCATTACTATTCAGTATATATCTATGCATAAAGGACAGTTGTGGTTTTGCATTCATTATCCTTATGTAACTTCCAATCGCAGAATGCACATGGGTAAACTACGGAACATATGAGGAAAATGGATATTTCTGATCGAATGAGACTTGATAAACAGTGGGTAAAATACCTAGTTTTCCCATTTTCCTCATCCACTCTTACCTATTTTCCCCATGTTTTCGACGAAGTACCTGTACACTTTTTTTCCCAAGTCACCTATTCTCTATTGCCATTAAAACCTCACTTGGCCGAACTTTTTAAACCGTAGGCTCCTCTCATGCTCTTACCCAATTTATCCATATTTATGTAAAGTGACCTCTGTTTCAGATACAGTAAAGCTCAGAGATTGAGTTGCCAGTACTGTTGCTAGTGGGAACGAAGATAGGCAAATGAAATGCTAATCAACATAAGGAATAGTTAAGCCCTAAGTGTAAGTGAATTTATTTAAAATCTATACAATATACCATAATTTACATTTTCAACTATTTATATTTTATCATATTTCCGTTGGGTTTCGAGTATAACAGAGGACTACAACAAAAGGTCATTTCCATCCGACTGTGATCTCTCTAGTCATTTTAACACGGTTAACAATCTAGCATTAGCTTATACTTCCACCATATACTACGATCTTCTCCACGTCATCGCCCAAACTGCGTGCGATGCTACTAATCAACAGTCTCCTCAGTATACGTCCAAACCACCTTCATCCCCTTGTTCACATATTTATTAGACTAAATGTCGTTGGTTCGTTCGTCCCTGGATGTTCTTGTTTCTAATCCTATCTGCCTACCTGATCTTCAGTATCGAGATAGCGAAGGTACATGATGATACAAGCACTCAAGCTTGTTGGAAATGCTCACTGAAATGGCATTAATGTTGAAGATCCTAATCTTCTCCATTATGGGGAGTGCAGAAGATGTCTACACTGATTCCAGAGTAATGAAGGCGTGTGTGTATGTGTGTGTGATGTGGCTTTTCAAATCCTGATCGGATTCGACTACCGCATCTGGGCCACAGCCAGTGATTGTAACAATGCTGTCCACCAGATTTCGTCACACAATTTCAAAAGCTAAATAAGAACTGTTGTCTCACATGAAATCGGTGAATTAGTACATGAATAAACGCCAACGATTGACCTGATTCGAATATGCACTCTATTCGGGGTGCACTTGAAATTAAGAACAAGCTAAATTTGTATCGTCATGCAGATTGATTGATTGATAGGAACTGATAGATAAAACTGTGAAATGAATGTCTGTCTGCCTGGATTCAACATAGAACTTGACACCGAAGTGCAGCAGCTCCAGTTGCCACGTTCCAAATACCACACAAAGGTAGACAACAAGATGAGTGACGAAGAGAATCAATAGAGTTTTGACAAGCAGTATAAGAGTGGAACAGAATGAGTAATGGTATAAAGGAATATGACACTGAATATTACAGAGACTGAATACATCTGCGTAAGCCATTGACAACGATTTTGAGCCATGTCACATATTGTCTGTCTCCAGCCATTGATTCTTAGAGTCCAGAGGGCGGGCCCTAACCCGGAAGTCTGCATCTCCCCCCTACCTGACTCAGTTTAACTGTCAGGGATTTCATGGATTGATGAGGCCATGTTTTTCTTTGGCCACCACTTACTCTTTCCCAACCAACCTGCACCTATATCAGCTAGTAATGCCCGTCCGTCGTGGGAGGCGATGGCTAGGCATGCGCAGCATGTGACCTAGCCATCTCAATCTATGTAACTTTATAGCCTCTTCGATTGATTTTCCCTCTTTGCCCAACACTCTACGCCTAACGTTCTTCCTTAATTAACACGTCTGTTCCCAATTTTCTTTCCTTCTACCGTTACTCATTAGCCTCCTTAAGAATATGCTGATGTAACCCCATCTTCTTAGTTCGAATCATCCAGTAGACAAATCAAAAAGACAGAATGTTACAGAACAATTGCATGCATTCCAACGTACACACACATACACACGCACACACCTAGCAATAATAATTATCTAGCGTCGGTGGCACAGTGGTTACGACTCTCACCGACCATGCACATGATCTGGGGTTCGATCCCCTGCCGACGCACATCTGATATCAATGGTCGGCCTGCAAAATTTGGGTTACCGATATCACATGCTTGTACCAAAAAAAACGGTGTGGAATCAAGCTGTAATCAAAAATTTTTAAAAAAATAAGCAGAAGGAGCTTCGAATCTAAAGGTTGATGATAGAAAGCCGCATGTATGTGTGTGGACATCACTCAGCCTAAGTACTAGTCAAAAATGAAACGTGTAGTGTGACTGGTGTAGACTTCCTGGTTGGGGTCCTCGGGAGGGTAAAAACCAATGGTTGGAAACAATTAGTGACATGGCTCAAAATCGATCTCAATGGCTGGTGCAGATGCATCCACTCCTTGTGATTTATGATTTCCAATGAAACTGTTTTGTTCTTCGTTATTACTATTCCTTTGTCTCACACCTCTGTTTACTGTCTCTATTATGCATTTCTCCTACTTTCTTCTGTTGCTTTGTGTTCTACAAGGAGGGAGTGTGGCGACTTGAACTGGCGCACATATGTGTGAAGTTCTATGTCGAAAACAGACAGACAGACAGTAATGTGACTATTCAGACAGTATAATGTCCCTGTTGTCTGCCGTAATCTTCAATCAGTGTAAATCAAATATTATGAATTGACGTGTCAGTTAGAGAATTATTGGAAACCAACAGCTGAATAGTGAACAAGATCGCCTTGTAACCATGATGGTCCTGGTTTCAATACTTAGTGAGGTAGGTTATGACTGCATACTGATGAACACAGTCTCAGGCTAGGACGTAACAGGTGTCCAGCACTAACTGGTTTGCCACAACTCTCTAACTCTCTAAGTCAGTTGGTGAACAAACATCAGATCACTCAAATCCCTGCAGCAAATGAAAACTCGAAAATTAGTCCAGTGTTCACTAATTACTGACTACAGGACTAAGGTGTCTGAAGTTTATAGTGAGATTTTGTGAGCGCTGTGGTCCACCCAGTTGGGTTTGAAAACTAATACCCACCAGTGACATCGATCGGCGGTTGTGCTATAAATATATATATATATATATATGATGGAGAAGATTTGTAGCTCAGGTGGATCATTTTGATGTGGTTGTGTTCTCTGAGCTGGATGGTTAATTTGCGAAGCTTTCATCACCCCACAACTAGGTGACATCTTCAGCGCATACTTCAATTCGCTGAAGTGAGCTTTTAGATTTCTCCACGAGTTTATTAATCATCTCTCCCGATGACCTTGAACGTGATTGGTTGTTTTTGTGCGTTTTCACACCTTCTAGGCTACTTGTATTGGAACTTGAACTTTGACCCTTTGTGTGTGAGGTTTCCTTCTTATCGGTGCTCAGTTCTATGTCAACCAAAAGAAGATAAAACCAGCATCATCTACAAAATAAATTGTAACAACTGCGAAAAACACTACATTGGCCGAAGTGGACGTCCTCTTCGTCTTCGTATCCACAAACATAAGCAAGCCATCAAAAGACATGACATCCACTCACTCGCACATATCACTACATACAGACAATCACGGACATCAATTCGACTGGGACAATGTTCAAATATTAGAGAGAGGAAACAACAAAAATGCTAGAGAAATTTCAGAAGCTCGCCTGGCATTCCAGTGAATCATCAGTCAATATACACATCGAGATTGACAAAATTTATCAACCGATAAGAAAGAAACGTCACACACGAAGGGTCAAAGTTCAAGTCAAAGAAACAATCAGTTCCAATACAAGTAGCCTAGAAGGTGTGAAAACGCACAAAAACAACCAATCACGTTCAAGGTCATCGGGAGAGATGAATAATAAACTCGTGGAGAAATCTAAAAGCTCATTTCAACAAATTGAAGTATGCGCTGAAGATGTCACCTAGTTGTGGGGTGATGAAAGCTTCGCAAATTAACTATCCAGCCCAGAAAACACAAGCACATCAATATATATATATATATATATATAACCAGGATAAGTTATAAATCACTGGTCATTGGATTCCGTCTCAATGAGTGAATTAGTTGATGGACTCGCCTTGTATCCTGAAGATCATGAGTTCGATCGATCCCTGGTGGCGTCATGGGTACGCGCACTTATAAAGAGTCCCAGACTGAGATGAAACATCACTGTTGGCTACTTCTTGCTGGTTCTCTAGATGAATTCAATTCGTGATTAATGCTAAGCGGATGCCCGGCGCTCTTCACCGGGTTGACTGTCCATTGGATGACAGTCTAGGGGAGATGGCTAAACCCTGATTCCAAACCTCCAACGACTGGTGTATGAAGCTCGCTGGAGCTCACCGGCAGACGTATGGACAAAGGGCTTGTTGGATGTAATGGATGTCTGGCCCCATTCAAAAAGGCGTATGAACCGAACTCCGGTCACCGGCTGACAATGGATAGTGGACTCCCTACTCCACTCCTACTGCCTTGTAGGTCACACTTGGTTGTGTAAAGGCTAGAGCTGCACTCTCAAACAAAAGGCCGAGCGATTCTGGGGAAATCACTCGTACCAAATTCCCATGAAACTTCATGAACTCTGTCCAGGAAGCCGGCTCATCCTCCCGGAGGAGATAGCCGAAGTAAAGTAAAGTAAGTAAGTGAAATATATCCATATATTTACAAAAAAAAGAAAACAAAACAATCCCACAACTTACTTCATATTCAACCAACTCGTGTAGACGATTTTCACTTGGACTAAATACAGGATTACTGTATTGATGATGATAATCACTTAGCATAGTATTTAAAGAAATATTTGAATGAGGCGACTGTCCTGTCTTACTATCATTTCCTGTATGGATATGTAATGGTTCAGTTGTGAATTTGGAATGTTGATTCGATTCTTTGTAACCACCACTGCCACCGCCACCGCCACCGCCTCCACATGCAGCTGTACATCTTGAACGTAATTCTTCAAAATCTGCTGACAGTTGTTGCAATTGATTCTGTAAGGGATATTGTGAAGAGTCAATGACAATTAGGCCAAACCAATAGTGGAAAAAAAAATCGAAACTTCAACAAAGTTGTTGATAATAGAGGTGGTTGCAGGTGGCAAATCAGTAACAGGAAGCCTTGATTGACCTGGATTTCGTGCTAGTTGTAACTCACCAGTCAGTTAGCAAGGCGTATTTGAAATCTTGAAGACACTCATCTCTGCTCTGAGACTCGAACCCGTATCACCCAGCGCTGCAGTCAGAGACTTTACCACCGAGCTATTGGCTCGCGATTGACCTCCTGCAGGACTGTATTGGATGTTTTTCATTGGACACTAGTTAGTAACTGGTGTAGTGTGTGTAATGTGACCTAGGTCGAAGGCTTTCTGCCGATGCCTCCAACCATCTAATATCAACAATTCAAAGTGCTACGTGGTGAAGAGCCACCCAGAATGGTGACTACATTGTAAACTTCACTTACTTGGGAAGTACCATCAGCCAGTGTCAACGGGTTGATCTCTGACGAAATCTCAGCACGAATACAGAGGACTAGTTTCGCATATGCCAGTTTATGCCGTCTCTGGCTTAGTAGACGCGATATCCGACTATCGACCAAAGGGCGTGTGTACTGCTCAACAGTCCGCTCCGTCCTCCTTTATGGCAGTAAGACGTGGCCATTGAGAGTGGAAGACATGAAAAGATTAGCTGTCTTTGATCATAGGTGTCTGTGTTCTACCTCCCGTGTAAAGTGGCATAATAAGGTGAGCAATACTGAGGTAAGGCCTCGGTCGAGTGCTAGGTAAGGAGGGGAAATCAATTGACGAGGCTGTGAAATTACATCAACTGAGATGGTTAGGACATGTGTTACGTATGCCTAGTCATCGCCTTCCTCGACAATGGGCAATGTTAGCTGATATAGGGCCAGACTGGAAAAGAGAAAGCTAGCGGCGGCCAAACCAAAACATGGCGTCACCAGTCAATGAAATCTACAACAGTTAGTCTAGGCCACGTAGGAAGGTGTAGACTTCCTGGTTGGCGGGTTGGGGGCCTCGGGACGGTAAAAACCAATGGTTGGAAACAATTAGTGATATGGCTTAAAATCCTAAATCTCAATGGCTGGTGCAGATGCATCCACTCCTTGTGACTTATGATTTCCAATTAAACTGTTTTGTTCTTCGTTATTACTATTCCTTTGTCTCACACTTCTGTTTACTGTCTATATTATGCATTTCTCCTACTTTCTTCTTTTACTTTGTGTTCTACAAGGAGGGAGTGTGGCGACTTGAACTGGCGCACATATGTGCAAAGTTCTATGTCGGAAACAGACAAACAGACAGATGTTTAAAAAAATCTTTTCACTGAAACAGTAGAATTTTTTTTTTTATTTCCTTCACGTTCCCCAGTGGAACATAGGGCTTCAAGCTAGTGGCTTGAAGTTTCTGTAGCAGTGCTTATTTTACGGGATGGGGTTGCTAGCCTCATGCCCAACCTTTCCCCTTCACCAGGGTTATTTCTGGCTTAGCGAGGTAAAGGAGTGCGTCGGTCGGGGATCAAACCCCGGACCATGTGGATGGTTGGCGAGCGTCCTAACCACTATGCCACCGACGCACAAACAGTAGAATACTATCAATCTTTTCAATGTTAGCTTATTAGGAAAGCCTGAATGCTTTATATAAATGGTAACTAGTTACTATGGATTTGTTTTCGTGCAAGGGAGGGGTCGGGCTCAAATAGCTCAGTTTTAATATCTATAGTGCTGTAATTAATAAATTAGCAAGAAGGGTCTTTGAAATGTTCGTGGTTCGTTTCCACATTATACAACAAGCGGTTGACTGCTTTTAACAAGATCGGTGGATGATGGTCAACGAGTTGGCCGCCTCATAATCTGCAGGTAATGGTTTCAATCCCCGATGAAGTCATCAGTGCATGCATACTATGGAAAAGTTTTAAATTAAAAGGAAACGTCTATCTAGTGCTCCCTAGATTTCTTTGTAGTTTGGTGCTTCAGTGGTAAAAGGCTCGCCAGTCACACTGGGCGCGTCAGGGTTTAATTCATGGCTAATGTATAATTTTAGTCTTTTTTAATAATAATAATTTGCTTTATTCCAAAACAGTACTTGTGATACAGAATGGAATTCTCAGCATTTTTTTTACCACAGTATTGCATCCAGTTAGTACATTATCAATAAATAGAATTCTACATAGATTGAGGAAACCACAGTTCATTATTACAACAATACATTGGCATGTCAGTAGCAAAGGTAAAGCTGAAACAGTGTTTGAAGGTGTTAGAAAAGTAGGTGCTATCATATTTTACTGGCGTAAGCGAAAGAAAGAGACAAAGCAGCACATAACGGAAAAAGAAGAGAGAGAAAAGGAACAGAAAGAAAGAAAATGTTGTACCTATTGATGATGTGAGTTGGAAAGACGAGATCCAGTTGTTCTACTGACTATTTAGTGAATTATAGGTGTCGCGCCTAATGCTTTCTTTATCGCTAAGTAGGGTATGGTTGAGTTTTTGTACTTGCTGGTGCGAACATATAGTTTTCTATATAGGCTTCGGGTTTTACCTGATGAGATGCAAGGGGAGAGTTGTGAGTGAAGAGGGTGGTGTGAGTTAGATAAAATGGATTTGGCCCATTTTTCACATGAGTCCATGTGCCTGTCAACCAGAATATTAACAAGCTGGTTAAGTGGCATGTTGCTTACTCTGCTGACAACATTTAACATCCTGCGTAATATGTTATAGTCTTTCTTCAGTAGCCCGGGAAAAACTAAGGGGGAACAATAGAGAATAATAGGCAGGATGTAAGAGTTAACGAATTGTAGGAGTAAGGGTTGGGTTATACCAGAATGTTTTAACTTCTTGATGTAGAAGGTAAGACGGGATATTTTCTTAGAAATCGCTAAGATATGAGACGACCAGGAGAGATCAGCAGATAGAATGACGCCTAGGTATTTAATTTCCGATTTAGTTTCTATTTCAGTGCCGTCTATGTTGCATACCTCATGAGAGCCAACCAGTTTGTTTAGGTCGGATTTATGCCTAAAGGTGAAATTGACCGTTTGGCATTTGGAGGGGTTTAGGGTAAGACCATTTTCCTTGGACCACTGGCTGATTTCTGACAGAAAGCCCTTAAGTTTAGAGCAGTCGGTTTGACATTTGATAGGCAAAGATACAGACAGATCGTCAGCGTATTTGACAAAATTAATGTCATTTGGAGATGGTAGGTCATGTAGAAAGAAGGAAGTCTTCGTCTAATCTAATAGACAGAGGCGGAGCAGTCCAGTGTGATGTGACAAACAACACCAGTACTTTTGAAACTCGATAACTCGCAGGCTTGCAGTTCATAGAGAGAAATAGAGAGAACATTTTGATGCATTGTGTGGGATAGAAATTCAGGTAGCCCAGTGAGTGATTGATGGAGGTGATTGAAGATAACCAACCAATCAAACAACAGCAACAACAACAACAAGCAGCACCAATCACCATCAACAGGAGAGATTTAACAGAGGTTACCTCTTTCACTTATCCGATTAGGAAGCATGGTTTCAACTACAGGTGGATGGCATGGACGAAGATGTCAAAGCTGGCCAGCCAGAATCGGAAAGGTAAGGCAAGATACGCCTTCATCAACCTGAAACCAGTGTTTGGAAATCTTATACACACTGCACTCAATCAGAATAAAGAAAAAGATTCGAATTTTCAACAACAATGTGAAGTCAGTCAGTCAGTTCATCTATACGGGTCAGAAACTTGGCCAGCATGTAACGAAAAGGATTTCCAACAGGTAGCTGCAGACTTTCATCAACAACTGCCACCTTCTCTGCCTTCATACTGAAGACCAAACATCCGGCCAGAAAGAATTAGTAACAAGAAACTCTGGCTGGCTGAGAACAAACCAACCATGAGTCGATCGCTCAGCAAATATATACAGAAGATAGAGATGGGTCGGGCATACATTGAGGAAACTGTCGAATGACATAGCGTGCCAGGCTCTTGAATGGAATCCAAATGGGAAGCGACGAGTGGGCTGTTAGTGCGAGGTTGGCATGGAGGAAATCGTGGAGGGAAGAGATAAAAGAGTTTGGGCAATCGTAGACCCAGTTGAAGAGGACAGCAGAAAATAGAATAAAGTGGAGATGGGTTGTTGAAGCCCCATGTTCCACTAGGAACCCAAAGGAACAACAATAATAGTAATAATAATAATAATAATTAGCAACAGTTTTGAGGCATATCACCGATCACCTCTAGTCACTGGTTCTTCAGCATCCCAAGGACGCTAACCAGTCAAGTAGTCAACAGCTGACTGACTGAAACTAACAACAGTTATAGATTTCATGAAGTGATTCCAAGTTTCGGTTTGAATATCACTACCAGTTCTTTCCCAACTTGACCCTATATCTTCTTTCTTTACTTCGGCTATCCCCTACGGGAGGATGAGCCGGCTTCATGAACATCTCGAATCATCGCTGCCCAGGCGCGGCGATCTGATGCAAGAGTTCATGAAGTTTCATGGGAATTTGGTACGAGTGATGTCCCCAGAATCGCTCGGCCTTTTGTTTGAGAATGCAGCTCTAGCCTTTACACAACCAAGTGTGACCTACAAGGCAGTAGGAGTGGAGTAGGGAGTCCACTATCCATTGGCAGCCGGTGACCGGAGTTCGGTTCATACGCCTTTTTGAATGGGGCCAGACATCCAGGACATTCAACAAGCTCTTTGTCCATACGTCTGCCGGTGAGCTCCAGTGAGCTTCATACGCCAGTCGTTGGAGGTTTGAAATCAGGGTTTAGCCATCTCCCCTAGACTGTCATCCAATGGACAGTCAACCCGGTGAAGAGCGCCGGGCATCCGCTTTCGCCCTCTCACTTTGGTGAAAAAACACCTCCGCCACGTGAAGGCAGTGAGTAGGACTTCCTCAGGAGAGGCTATGTAAGACGCCCGGTCATATGGGAGGATTTCAAGAGGTGTGCGGAGGGGTGGCCAACCCGCAGCGCAAGGCACCCACCCCCGACCATCCTGCGGCTTTGGAGGCCTATATCAGTCAGCTAACATTGCTCATCAAGAAAGATGATGACTAGGATTTAGTTCCACAATTTCATCCAACCTTTGGTAAAAGGCGGTTTATATCATCCACAGAAATAAAAGGGGAGGACGGAGAGAACTGCTGAGCAGTTCACACATACATAAATCCTTTGATTCACAGCTATTAGAATTCAACGGGACAAAGAGAGAATAATGCATTTCTATTACATAACACAATAATACACTACTATGATAAAATATACATGAGCTTACTTGAAGATCAGTATTATGCAACTGAAGAGCTTCATAATCACGTATAGAAACAGTAGTAGGATAACGAGTTTGACGTAATGCTGGATGTCTAAAATAATACAAAAAAAAAAACGTAAATTCAACAATCTGTATTGAGAAACCACAATTAAATACAATGGAAATCAGTTGAACGAATTAGAAGTCAGATGATAGTGATTCATATTTACGTATGTGTGTGTGTGTGTATTTATCAGTTCACCTACAACACACCAATTATTATTATTTATTAATGTTCCCTTGGGTTCCTAGTGGAACATAGGGCTTCAACTACACGTCTCCACTTCTTTCTGTCTTCTGCTGTACTTTTCATCTGCGTCCATGTTAATCCATACTGTTTCAACTCCTCTTCACATGATCTCCTCCATGTCACCCTTGGACGTCCCACTTGCCGCTTCCCCTTCGGGTTCCACTCGAGCACTGGTCTGACGCGCGATGTCACCCAACGGCCTCCTCAGCCAGTGTCCAATCCATCTCCACTTTCTCCTGCATATTTCTTGGGCGATTGGTTCCTGTTTTGTTTGTTCCCATAGTTTCTTGTTGGTGATTCTTTCCGGCCATCTAATCTTCACTATAGAACGAAGAAAGTTGTTGATAAAGGTCTGCAACAAGCTGTTGAAAATATTCTTTGGGACCCGCCAAGTTTCTGATCCGTATAGAAGAACTGACTGACTTGACGTTTGTATTGAAAATCCGAATTTTGTTGTTGATGCTGAGTTGAGTGACGAAGATTTCCAGATTGGTTTCAGGTTGATGAATGTGTTTCTCGCCTTCCCGGTTCTCGCTCGATTTGACATCCTCGTCCGTTCCTCCTGTGGTTGAGACAATGCTCCTTAGATAGATAAAAAAAGTAACCTCTTTCAAATCCCTCCCGTTGATGGTGATTGGCGCTGGATGTTGCTGATGCTGTTGTTGTTGTTGTTGGTTGGTTGGTTATTTTCATAACCTCCGTCTTGTCTATGTTCACCTGGAATCCTGTCTTCACCGGCTGCTTCTTCGACCAGTTTGTCGGTTTTCGCTTGTAAGTCTTCGACTTTTTGTGACATCAAACATAAGTCATCCGCGAAATCCAGGTCTTCTAGGTTCTTCACGTCTGTCCAGGATATCCCTGTCTTCTCGTTTCCCACTGTCTGACGCATAATCCAGTCCACCACAATTAGGAATATCACTGGTTATAATAAGCACTCTTGTCTGACTCCTGTGTTTACTGCAAACGCATCGCTGAGTTTTCCGTTGTGGATCACTTGACATGTGCGGTTGTCGTACAGCTGTTGACTAAGGTTGATGAATATTTGGGGTACGCCGTAGTACTCGAGTAGTTTTCAAATTACTTCACGGTCAACGCTGTCGAAGGCCTTCTCAAAGCCTATAAAGTTGAGGTAGAGATTTGATTGCGTTTCCATGCTTTGTTCGATGATGATGCGTGGAGTTGCAATTTGGTAGATATTTGATAATACAGAAGAATTTCATATATTTGGTTATCTTGATAAATTTCGATAAAGAAAGAAAGACCAGATTTGCAGTATAAAATGATATCATTCTATTTCACAGGTTCTCATCAGCTGCAAACTACCTGAAATTACAATGGTTATAATTAATAACATTTCATACTTCATTGTTTGAAATGTTATTAATTATAACCATTGTAATTTCAGGTAGTTTGCAGCTGATGAGAACCTGTGAAATAGAATGATATCATTTTATACTGCAAATCTGGTCTTCCTTTCTCTATCGAAATACAGAAGAAGCTTGTTCAACACCCCTCGAACTCTTTATGCATTTATTCCCATTGGTGAATTTGAATAAAGCAAGAAAAACAATGGGGGTTTGTGCAGAATAATATGGTACCATTATTTATCTCGTTAGCTTCTCATCATCTGCTGCTTACAGTCTAAATAAATTATTTTTTATTTCTATCAAACGCTTGAAACATGAATTATGTGTTCAGAAAGAAGCAGTTAGTTATCAGTTTTTCCTTTCCAACCTGGTAACTGGATGTCTTTACTCTCTCTCTCTCCATTTCCTTTGATTACGTAATCTTTGGCTTTAACCTTATCCCCCGACCAACCACCTTTGATATAGAGTAATTTTGCTTGTCTCTTCTTTCTATAATTTGAGTTGAACTCAATACGTTGTTACCCAATTTATTAGTTACTCCTCATCTTACTCACCTCTCTCGTCTTTATTACGTAACTCCTTTACCATTGTATGCATACATTTACTTTGTGTAAACTTGACCTGTCTGTGTAAAATCTATATAAGCGTAATTTTCTGAGCACTGTTCACTAATTCCGGAACTTTCTGTCAACTGACATCATGCGAAAATTGCAAACATGTTATAAACTCGTTTCTGTGCATGAACTTAATAATAATTTACTTAGGCTGTAAGCAGCAGCTGATGAGGAGCCAACGAAATCAACAATGATGGTACCATTGGCTTATTTTTATACATGGTAGGATGAATTTTCTTGTGGCCTTTGATATTGCCTTGTTGTTAGTGTAATGACTCGAGTTAAAACACTGTTTTTGATGAAATTGTGTGGGTATTCATTCTTTTTCAAAAACGGTAAGTAGGTATTTTTCATCCATTCTACAGTGTGTGTGTTTGAACTCTTTTAAACAATGTCCACACACACAGTTTCTTTTGTGGGCAATCGGGTTGTTTCTACTATAACTGAGTATTTGGTCTATGTGCGTTAATTTTCTGCATACTTGTGTTTACAAATTTCCTGTGTTGCTTCTCTTGATTTTGTTGTCTAATTCTTCTTCTCTCGTGTGGTGAATTTGTGATGTCTTCAAACATGTTTATTAATTTGCAGGTATATTCCTGTCCTGACAGTGGTCGTCAGAAGATACAATTTCATCGTTCATAGAGAATTTAATCTGTTTACTCTGTCTGTCTGTCTCTTTTCGACATAGAACTTTGCACATATGTGCGCCAGTTCAAGTCGCCACACTCCCTCCTTGTAGCACACAAAGAAAGAGAAGAAAGTACAAGAAATGCATAATAATATAGACAGTAAACAGAGGTGTGAGACAAAGGAATAGTAATAACGAAGAACAATACAGTTTCATTGGAAATCATAAGTCACAAGGAGTGGATGCATCTGCACCAGCCATTGAGAACGAGGATTTTGAGCCATGTCACTAATTGTTTCCAACCATTGGTTTTTACCGTCCCGAGGACCCCAACCAGGAAGTCTACACCTTCCTACGTGGCTTAGACTAACTGTTGTGGATTTCATTGACTGGTGACGCCATGTTTTCGTTTGACCGCCGCTAGCTATCTCTTTTCCAGCCTGACCCTATATCAGCTAACATTGCCCATTGTCGAGGAAGGCGATGACTAGGCATACGTAACACATGTCCTAACCATCTCAGTCGATGTAATTTCACAGTCTCGTCGACTGGATTTCCCCTCCTTACCTAGCACTCGACCGAGGCCTTACCTCAGTATTGCTCACCTTATTATACCACTTCACGCGGGAGATAGAACGCAGACACCTATGATCGAAGACAGCTAATCTTTTCATGTCTTCCACTCTCAATGGCCAGGTCTCACAGCCATAAAGGAGGACGGAGCAGACTGCTGAGCAGTACACACGCCCATTGGTCGATAGTCGGATATCACGTCTACGCCAGAGACGGTCAGGGATTTTGTCTAGAAGGTGACAACGAAAGCTTTGTCATTAAGTCAACCATTTCAGTAGGGAGTAGGTTCCTGGATGATTCACTACATTACTGAAATTTCCTATCGCTTATCTTTTTTGGTTAGTCCTTTGATCTTCCTCATTAATTACTAATTAAGAAACCTAAACGTATATTTTCATTTCATTCGGAAAAAGTGTGTATACAGTTCAATACAATTGCCCAAAGTATTTGAACACTACTACTTAATTTCTCGAAGACTTGCAGACGAAAAGTAACACACTGGTTGAAGAAGCAGGCAGTAAAGACAGGACTCCAGCTGAACATAGATAATGTGGAGGCGGAGGTGACGAAGATAACCGACAAACCAAACAACAGCAACAAAAACAATCAGCACCAATCGCCATTTAACAGAGGTTACTTCCTTCATTTATCCAGTTAGGAAGCACAGTTTCAACCACACAGGTACATGGCACGGATGAAGCCGTCAAAGCTGGCCAGAATCGGAAAGGCAAGGTAAGATACGCCTTCAGCAACTTGAAACCAGTGTTTGGAAATCTTCTGCACTGCACTCAATCAGCATAAAGAACAGGATTCACGTTGTCAACACAAATATCAAGTCAGTTCTTCTATACAGGTCAGACACTTGGCCAATGCGTCACGATAAGAATTTCTAACAAGTTACAGTCTTTTATCAACAACCGCCACCTCCTCTGGCTCCATACTAAGAATCAAACATCCTTCCAGAAAGAATCAGTAACAAGAAACTCTACAGTGGAAGAAACTAACCAAGATTCGATCGCTCAGCGAATACGGAGGAGAAAATGGAGATGGATTGGACGTAAGCTGAGGAGATTGTCAAATGACATCGCATGCAATGCATGCCATTGTTCAAATGGAATCTTAATGCGAAGCGATAGGTTGGTCATCGGTTAGAGAGTGACACGGAGGAGATCGTTTGGCGAGGTGGAGGAGATGAGAGATTTCGGTCAACTGTAGACCCAGCTGAAGAGGACAACAGAGAATAGAACGAAGTGGAGATGTATTGTTGAAGCCCTATTTCCCACTCGGAACCCAAGGAAACAATAATAATAATAATAAATTTGTCCAGTGATACATAAAATTCTGCCAAATAATTAATAACTATAAAGGCTACATACCAGTAACCATTAGTTGTTCGTAAACTTTATGTACGGGTGTAAGTATTGAGTGCTAATATACAAAGATAACATACCTCGAACACCTATCAGATAAATACATTAAGTGCGTAGTTCCTAAGATGATGGTTACGCAAAAAACTCATATAAATCTGAAATTCTATTGCACAATTTTGTAATATTAACATATACGCACACACTACATAAACACATATCGCGGACAATTTTTTTTTAAAATGAACTAATAACACTCTGTATTATAGGGTATTCAGCTGACGAGTTCCACTGGAATTCGATGAAATGATTAAACATCTTTCTTTTATGGTAAACATTCCTATAACTTTTAAATGTTTATCAGAGAAATAAATATCTCCAATAATCTTCTGAAGCCAGAAGGTTGTGGTGGGTTCGAACCCCCCAGTGGTGGGTGCATACTGACGAAGAGTCCCAAACTATAGTTGACAGCAGGCTGTCCAGTACTCACTCCTTGATGGTTTTCCAATGGTTCTCTCTAAACGATGTCAGCAGCTCATGATGATGAAATACTTTAACCAATCAAATAAAACCCCTAGAAACCAAATACTTAAAAATCTTACAAATGTTGAAAAAGATTATTATTATTATTACTATTATCTTTACTTTACATTTAAATATAACTTACAATGAGTCAATAGAATCTGAATGAAGAATTTCTTGACGTAATTTTTCAATCCATTCATCATAGGCTGTATCATTTGAAGAATAACGAGAAGTATTCAATTCACTTGATGATCTTGATTGATTGATACCATTCTGTGTCTGTAGGATGGCGGGCGGGCGGGGGGGGGGAAGGAGGAAGAAATCAAAGTAAAGCAATATTACCGATAGTAGTAATAATAATAATAATGATAATCACTTCAACTTCATCATAGACGTATTAATGGACTTAACCCTAACAGACTTCAGCGACTCAGGGATTGACTTGCTACCAGGGAATAATCTCGTTGACTTAGAATATGCGGACGATATAGTCCTTCTAGGCGAGGACGCTGACAAAACCGAGCAGAGTCTTCTGAACACCTTGAGCAACAATCTTCGTATGTTTGTCATGCGATTCGCCCCTGTAAAATGTAAGATGATGCTGCAGGATTGGACTTCACCGACTCCTAGATTAGAAATAGGAAGTGAAGTGGTAGAGCACGTTGACCGCTTCACTTACTTGGGAAGTACCATCAGCCAGTGTCAACGGGTTGATCTCTGACGAAATCTCAGCACGAATACAGAGGGCTAGTTTCGCATATGCCAGTTTACGCCGTCTCTGGCGTAGACGTGATATCCGACTATCAACCAAAGGGCGTGTGTACTGCTCATCAGTCCGCTCCGTCCTCCTTTATGGCTGTGAGACATAGCCACTGAGAGCAGAAGACATGAAAAGATTAGCTGTCTTCGATCATAGGTGTCTGCGTTCTATCTCCCGCGTGAAGTGGTATGATAAGGTGAGCCTAAGGTGAGGTTAGGCGTCGAGTGCTAGGTAAGGCGGGGAGTGTGGCGACTTGAACTGCCGCACATATGTGCAAAGTTCTATGTCGAAAACCGACCGACCGACCGAATCACTTTATTCCAAATAATACTTTTCATACGAACATGAAGCTTTCAGCATGTGTAGTACAATATTGTATTTGGCAATGAAGAATCCTCCGCTATCATCATCTATGGAGTAACAAATAAGTGGTCAAAAGCATCCAGGCATCAATTATATTCCAATCAGCAGAGGCTATTATGATTTGCTCAAAACAACCGATGCTTTGTGTGTGTGTGTGTGCAAAAGAAACAGGTCCAGCTAGTCACTATTACTGCTCTGGCCTTCTGTCGAGCTTATAAATTCATGAATTCTGCATTATTATTATTACTTTTCTTAATTTGACTGATATTCAGTATGTAGTGATGATGCATATTAGCACGCTTACAGATGGTTATCGAATTCGAATCTGTTCATACTATTGATTGATACGATGTTATTTAGGGAAACATTAATGTTGTCAATAAGCCTTATTTCTTTCACTATATATAAATATGTATATTGTTCCTAGAGGAGCATAGGAGTTCACCTGCAAGTCTCCACACTGTGTTCGGTTCTCCGCCAAAGTTTTCGTCACCTAGCTCCACGTCTACCCACATTCTTTCATCTCCTCCATGTCACTCTCGCATTGACAACCAACTCACCGCTTCCCATTCAACACCTTCCACTCGAGTGATGGCCTGCGTTGCGGGTGATGTCACTTGATGGTGGTTTGTTTTCTCAGAGTATGGCCAGCCATTCCACCTCCATTTGCTCCTGCATATTTCTTGCAAGATTGGATCCTACTGGGTTGGTTCGCTCATTGCCACTATAGCTGATCTTCTGTGGCCGGCTATCTGATTTTGAACGAAGTACTGAGCGAAGACAGCTATTGATGAAAGTCTGTATTTTGTTCGAAGTGCCCTTCATGACGCAGCGCGGCGCCAAGTCTCTGATCCGTATAGTAAGTAGCACTGACTTCACATTGCGGTTGAAAATCCTAAACTTGTTTTTCGTGCTGAGTGCTAAGTGTTGACCTCCACACAGATTTGAGAGTCATGAATGCTTGATTTGCTTTCCCGATGATCCTCGCTTTGATGATATCCTCCTCATCGGCTCTGCCTGGGTGAATATAACTGTAGAAACTGATGAAGAGCAGATTATCGAAAAGAATCACATTCTTTGTTCAGTAATTAATCTTTTGAAATTTCTAATGGGCATTTTTGACCAATAATAATAATAATGTCTTTATTCGAAATAGTACTTTTGATATAAATATGGAATTTTGCAGCATGCAATACAATTCAATTGTATCTAATTTTCTCATTACATAATAATACAGGGGGTAATAATTTAAAACAGGACAATCACATTGATAATACTGTTGAATAAGAATATGGGTTTTAAGCTTAAAATTTCAGTGAAAATAGTGAAGTCAACAACAATGTAATAGTGAAAAGAAGAAAGAAGGAATAAGAAGGACCGTTTACATAGTGTTTCACAGTATATTAATAATGTCATGCCCAATACACTTTTCTAATCATATAAAATGTGTGTCCCAGCCGCCAAATAAGATATTGAAAACATTAATTTCCCGATACGAATTTAAAACAAGCAACAAAGGTTAGTGAAGCAGGATTTAATGAATTTTATCAAATTTCAGTAAAACTCCTCTTCAGCTGAATACTCTACATACACGGATATATATGTACTATCGAAATTACATTGGGAGGTAGAAGACTGATAAGTAAACAAACTACATTGAATTAGTCATGCAGAAAGACAGGTGCGAATGTTGTTTTCCTTAACACCATCAAGCGAGCGCTTCAACAGTCACGGAAAGACCAGTCGCCACTCCTCAACACTTCAAACTGCGTATATCAATTTGATTAGTGTGTTTGTGGAAGCAAACACGCATAGGTCGTAGAGAAAGGTGATTGTCTACTCATCGCATGATGGAGAATTTACCAAAATGGTTGAAAAAACAGCTGAATGCAAAGTGCCGAAAACGTCAATAACAAAACATCTTGTGGACAATGGACATTATATCGACGCGCTGTCAAGTCATTCTCACTGTTGTCAGCGAGCAGACAAATAAACAGGAAGGCTTGCGCAATTCGAGTTTATAAACCAGGTCTCTGTGTACAAAACGAGATAGTCGTCACTACGGGGTAGGGTTCACATTTCGCTTGAAAAACAAAGTTAGACTAAGTCACCGTTTGAAAGGCAGCAAAGTATTCTCAAGCGAAACTGCTGGACACCTGATTGTGACACAGGACATACACTGGAAATCAGCCTGCAAGCTTTCACAATTATCAATACATAAAGAAAAATATGCTTACTTCGGTTCACAGAAGCCCATTGACATCAAAAGACTTCGATCCAACTTTATAGAAAGACAGTGCGGCTAATCTCTTACTACCCAATCTGATAAGCATAATTGTTTTATGTTCGTATGCTTTTTTGTTTTGTTCTGTTGCATAACATTCCAATTAATCTTGATGCTGATTTTTACTTACTGAGTTGAAATCACTATAAAGTTTTTTCTAACAAACCTACTAAATTAATTGATTTCATCTGTTTTATAATTTTACTTCACTATTCACCCCCCAACCACCCTCCTGAACTCTCCAACATAATATGTATAAATCAGCTTTGAAACAAAATGTATTTAGTCCATGCTTGTTTCTAAGCAAAATCTGAACTCTACCCCCCTTTGTCGAATCACTATATAAATAGTTTTTAGGAGTTGATCACGGATTGATATCAGTTAGAGAAGCATTGGAAACCAGCTCTAAGGTAACGGACAGCTATTTCATCCTAGTTTGGGAATCATCGGAAGTACGCACGTACCACCGGAGGGTTCGAACCCAGGGCAGTCCGGTTACAAGGCAAGCTGGCTCGTATACCATTCATCCACTGGGACCCGATTCAATGGCTCATAAATTCTAACTTCTTCCAATTCGTGATTTAGCGCGACCCCAACCATTGTCGTAGGTGGGGTCACATGTCACACATGTCCTAACCATCTCAATCAATGTAACTTCACAGCCTCGTCGATGCAGTGGAATACAAACATAAAGAGCTGAAATCTTATAATTCATTCAGAACACAAGGGAATAATAATAAAATATACAATTTGACTAGGGAATAAAAAGACAGTTGCAGCAAAGGAAATTTTCTTTTCGACGAAGTCATCATCTAGGCTGTACATTCGTGTATTTATATCAAATGAATGGGAAAGTTCCAGAATAATTTCCGGTTAGGGGTCAAATTAATAAAAATTACAATTAGGAATTAGAATGCCATAATAAACAGGGGGATGGGTAAAACTCAAACAAAGTAGCATAATAACTAAGAAAATTGACATTGTGCAATTGGGGTTAGAAATGTAAAAATAACAAAACATACAGGATGTTTGGATAAGAAACTAGTGTGATGAATAATTGTTTATGCAATCAGGCATTAAATATGTAGAAATAATAAAATGACAAAATAAACAGGAAGTGTGGATATGAAAATATGGTAGTGTAGACAGGGATTAAGAAAACATGAATAAACAGGAAGTTTAGATAAGAAAGGCGATGGGATGGTCATTATTAAAAAATTTACCTGTTTATGATGGCCATGGCAGGGACAGGGGTTGGATGTATTTCTTTTGGATACAAAGGGTGGGTTTGAGTTTTTGGATAGCTAACGCCTCAGCTATGCCCAGATGTCTTGATTTGATTCCCTTTGATAGGTTTGATTGAATTTTGTATATTACTTTGAAGGATTTTTCGAAAGGCGCTGAATGTCCTGAGTTGACCAGATGTTCTGTCACTGAACTGTATACACGTTTTCGGTCTCCTTTTACTAGCCAGGCTGGGTAGTGTTCGCGAGCGCGTTTTTCAAGTCGGCGCATGGTACGGCCGATGTACTCAGCTCCACAAGAGCAAGTAAACTGGTATATGCACGTTGAGGTGGCCCAATGCGACGGCTTGTCTTTCACGTTCTGGCTGAACAGTTTCTTGCAAGAAAACGTCAGTCGTAGGCTCGCGGCGAAGTATGTTTTCCTTAGAGATTTGCAGAGACGTTTGCGAAGGATTTCTGCTTCAATACCACCTTTACATTCTAGATTAAGCAGAAGTGTTTTCTTTGGAACGGATTGGACTTGTTCTGAAGTCTTAGTCTTAGATTTGAGATTTCTGTCTATGAACCTGGGCGGGAAACCGTTTTCCATCAAGGTTTTTTGGAGATTGCACAGTTCTTCTTCAATCACTTCATCGCTGCATATCTTCCGAATCCTCGAGGAAAGAGCGTATATCAGGTTCCTCTTTCTGCTTAGGGGCACGAAGCTTTGGAAGTTGATGAATTGTCCATTCCAAGTAGGCTTTTTGTATATGGATCTTTTCAGAGAGTTGTTGGCGTTTCTTGTCAGCTGGACGTTGAGGAAGTGGTACATTCCGTTGGATTCAGTCTCAAGTGTGAAGTCGATGTTTGGGTGGGCGTTATTGAAGATTTGAAGTAGGTTTTTTAAATCACAATTCTCATCACAAATAATGAAAGTATCATCGATGTATCTCTTGTAGAGATGGAGGTCGTTGATAGTTGATGATAAGGGGTTGTTTTCTAAGCTAGCCAAAAAGCAGTCGGCTAATAGGGGTCCTGAAGGGAGAACCCATTGCTACCCCATCTACTTGCCTGTATATTTCCTTGCTGAAACTAAAGTATACGTTGAAGGTGCATCGTATTAACAGTTCTTTCAGTAATGGATCGGATCCGATATCGATAAAAATTATAAAAATTGTATTTGATCTTCTGTTATTCATGTTATTTTAAGTTTTCTTAATCCCTGTCTACACTACATATTTTCATATCCACACTTCCTGTTTATTTTGTCATTTTATTATTTCTACATATTTAATGCCTGATTGCATAAACAATTATTCATCACACTAGTTTCTTATCCAAACATCTGTATGTTTTGTTATTTTTACATTTCTAACCCCAATTGCACAATGTCAATTTTCTTAGTTATTATGCTACTTTGTTTGAGTTTTACCCATCCCCCTGTTTATTATGGCATTCTAATTCCTAATTGTAATTTTTATTAATTTGACCCCTAACCGGAAATTATTCTGGAACTTTCCCATTCATTTGATATAAATACACGAATGTACAGCCTAGATGATGACTTCGTCGAAAAGAAAATTTCCTTTGCTGCAATTGTCTTTTTATTCCCTATAAAAATAACAGTAATACTAACAATCATAACGAAGACTTACATTATTCAGTATATGTGAATCAGTTTCATTAATATTGAAACTATTGTCCAATTGTAGATTACACTGTACATCGATATCATGATAAGAGACAGACGATGGAGTTGATAATACTGATGCATTGACTTTACTCTGACATTTAGCTTCGATAACGCCGACTTCTTTCATACGCTTTTTTTAAAAGAAAAAAAATTGTTTTATGTTTTTAAAAGTAATCAATATAAAACTAGTTACATGCACAGAGGAAAATATGTTTTAAAAAGAATACTACTTAATAAAAAATATATAATAATAATATAATAATAATTTGCTTTATTCCAAAACAGTACATGTGATACAGAATGAAATTCTCAGCATTTTTACTACAGTATTGCATCCAGTTAGCACATTATCAATAAATAGAATTCTACATAGATTAAGGGTAATCTCACTTTATTATGACAACAACATATTGGGTAGCAAAGGTAAAGCTGAACAGTGTTTGAAGGTGTTAGAAGAGCAGGTGCTGTCATATTTACTGGCGTAAGCGAGAGAAGGAAACAAAGCAGCACATAACGGAAAAAAGAGAGGGAAAGAAAAAGAAAAAAGAAAGAAAATGTTGTACTTATAAATGATATGAGTTGAAAAGACGAGGTCCAGTTGTTCTACTGACTATTTAATGAATTATAGGTGTCACGCCTAATGCTTTCTTTATCGCACAGAACATGAGCTAAGTAGGGTATGATTGAGTTTTTGTACTTGCTGGTGCGAGCATATAGTTTTCTATATAGGCTTCTGGTTTCGCCTGATGTAAGGGGAGAGTTGTGAGTGAAGAGGGTGGTGTGAGTTAGATAAATTGGATTTGACGCTCTGGCATTCAGAATTACAGTTCTTGAATTCAGGAAGAACAACCACCAGTTACTACTGTTCTAGGTACCTCCAGTTGACGAGTCCTAAATACAACGAAATCCACATCTTGGATTCCACTATTAGTCACCATTGACCAGAATTGCGCGTCGGTAGAACGCTTGCCAACCCCGTGTCTCATATAGTCCGGCGTTCAAATCCCAGACGAGGCATCCCCCCTAAACCTTGCTTAGCTAGTAGTGTAACAACATAAGAAAAGGGCCAGATCCTTTATTGAGGAAATCATGAGATATTTATATATTTTTATGTACATTATTATTCATTATTGTTAGCAGAGAAACAGCGTTTTCTGATTGGTTGTTTTCCTGCTGAAGGTTATTCTCTCATCTCTTTCAGGCCATTTCTTTGAGGGTTATACCATAGATCTGCGAATGGTATCCGCCCACGCAAAGTCTACTGTGATTGGTTGTTGAGTTAGCCTTTGTTCTTGTTTTTTTTTCTCATGACCAAGATTTGGGACGTAAACTGCTGTCTACCGATTTCGGCTAGCAGACACAGCTCTCACCACAGTAGTAGTAAACCCAGTTGAAAAGGAGAACTTCGAGCGTGAGGCTGCCAAACCCACCCTGTAAAAATGACGCCATTGCTACTGAAACTTCAAAGCGGAAGTTTTAAGCCCTATGTTCCAATGGGAACTGGAAGCAGTAAAAAAAACAGCTGAAGAGCATATATATATATACATATATTTGTCAACAGTCTATTGATAAAGTTAGTTTCTTTATGCTGTGTTATACCCAGATTTGTATCAACAGCTGTCATCGCTGGCTCCATATTGAGGAGGATCAGACGGACCAGCAGGGAAAGGATTAGCTAAAAAAGATCTCTACCAACTAAACAACCAACAAATATGGTGAAGAAAATGCAGATAGATCAGAAACACTCTGAGGAGAACGTTGTGGGACATCACACACTGGGTTAGATTCTACAGGAGAACTTCAATGGGAAGTGATGCGTTTCGGTGTGATATACAGGGTGAATTGGAGGATACAGCATGGGTAGGAAATGGTAATTAATAAACAATCCCTGAGCCACATAAACAGGATTGCAGAGAAAAGAGTTAAATGAAGAGGTGCTGTTGAAACCCAATGTTTCACTGGGAACCTACGGGAATAATAATACAATATTAAAGTATACGCATTATGGACTTCGAATTCTGCAGAGACAGTAACTAAAACTGATAAAGTATGCTTTATCATATAAAAAATAACCAATAATATTGAGATAAGGTTAGGCACTCAAAGTATTCAACGCTCAAGTGATACGTTCCAAGTTCGAATCCTGTTCCATGCATTTTCATCATTCTAGGCAAATTGGTCAAGAAAACTTTGTGTCGGTCGGTCGGTCGGTTTTCGACATAGAACTTTGCACATATGTGCGCCAGTTCAAGTCGCCACACTCCCTCCATGTAGAACACAAAGTAAAAGAAGAAAATGGGAGAAATGCATAATATAGACAGTAAACAGAAGTGTCAGACAAAGGTATGGTAATAACGAAAAACAAAACAGTTTCATTGGAAATCATAAGTCACAAGGAGTGGATTCATCTGCACCAACCATTGAGAACGAGGATTTTGAGCCATATCACTAATTGTCTTCAGCAATAATTGGTTTTTACCGTCCCGAGGCCCCCAACCCACCAACCACGAAGTCTACACCTTCCTACGTGGCTTAGATTAACTGTTGTAGATTTCATTGACTGGTGACGCCATGTTTTGGTTTGATCGCCGCTAGCTATCCCTTTCCCAGCCTGACCCCATATCAGCTAACATTGCCCATTGTCGAGGAAGGCGATGACTAGGCATACGTAACACATGTCCTAACCATCTCAGTCGGTGTAATTTCACAGCCTCGTCGATGGATTTCCCCTCCTTACCTAGCACTAGACGCCTAACCTCAATATTGCTTACCTTATTACGCCACTTCACGTGGGAGATAGAACGCAGACACCTATGATCGAAGACAGCTAATCTTTTCATGTCTTCTGCTCTCAATGGCCAGGTGTCAAAGCTGGCCATAAAGGAGGACGGAGCGGACTGTTGAGCAGTACACACGCCCTTTGTTCGATGGTCTGATATCGCGTCTACGCCAGAGACGGCATAAACTGGCATATGCGAAACTAGCCCTCTGTATTCGTGCTGAGATTTCGTCAGAGATCAACCCGTTGACACTGGCTGATGGTACTTCCCAAGTAAGTGAAGCGGTCAACGTGCTCTACCACTTCACTTTCTATTTCTAATCTAGGTGTCGGTGAAGTCTAATCCTGCAGCATCATCTTACATTTACAGGGGTGAATCGCATGCCAAAAATACGAAGATTGTTGCTCAAGGTGTTCAGTAGACTCTGCAGTTTGTGTACTTATTGAGGTGTGTAGACAATTATTACTTTCTAGTTGCCCAAACCATGCAAGTTGATTTCTTCCCTGGCTATGTTAAACAGTGTTACGTGAGCATACACCCTTGGCCTATTACACATGGTCTGTTTTGAGAGGATTTTGAGAGTTGTGTCCGGATCAAGATCTGACTATCGTAAGATAGTTTGGAATGGATAATTTTTAGGATCGACCTTTTCCTAAGAGCCCTGCCTTGCCAGAGTGGACAGGCAGTACAGTTGGCTTACTGGTTTTCTATGGGAAACATACCTCACTGCTGTTACATGGCTATTCTCCAGCAATACGACTTCGACTACAGAGCTTCAAAATAGTATAAACAATTTACACTATGACGACAACTGCTTTTAATCTCATCAATATGCAATTTTATTTTATTTTATATAAATGCATAAAAACTTGGTACAATGTGACAACAAGACGATCCGCCACACTTGTGTGAAGGCTGAGATACTGCCCGGGCGCCCAGACCGAAGCAGGTGGTTTTTTAAGGTATCATCCCCCAAAGCCTTTAACTTGGAGTCTAATCCACAAGGCAGCGGAGCAGCGCCAGCAGCTACTTTCCCATGGTTACCGGTGACCAATATAGGTTCATACACTATTTGATCCGATTGGATTTTGGAGCCCATGTACCCCACATGGTAACTGCTTTTAGTCTAACTGCTATCCAAACAACCTTCCTGAGATAGTAGGACCTGCAGGAACATGAGTCCCAGACAGTTTAGCTCGTTGGGTCACTGCGGTATTCAAGCCCAGCCGCCACGACGAAGTAGCATTTGTCGGTCGGGCATCACTATGGCTGGCTGGCTGGATTCAACATAGAACTTCGCACCGAAGTGCAGCACTTCGAGTTGCCACGTTCCAAATAGCACACAAAGGTAGACAAGAAAATGAGTGAAGAGAATCAATAGAGTTTTGACAAGTATAAGAGTGAAACAGAATGAGTAATGGTAGAAAGGAATATGAGATGAAGATTACAGAGACTGAATACATCTGCGTAAGCCATTGACAACGATTTTGAGCCATGTCACCTATTGTCTCCAGCCATTGATTCTTAGAGTCCCGAGGGCCCCACCCAGCCATGAAGTCTGCATCTCCCTACCTGACTCAGTTTAACTGTCAAGGATTTCATGGATTGATGAGGCCATGTTTTTGTTTGGCCACCACTTACTCTTTTCCAACCAACCTGCACCTATATCAGCTAGTAATGCCCGTCCGTCGGGGGAGGCGATGGTTAGGCATGCGCAGCACGTCACCTAGCCATCTCAATCTATGTAACTTTATAGCCTCTTCGATTGATTTTCCCTCTTTGCCCAACACTCTACGCCTAACGTCAACATTACTTACTTTATTATGCCACCTAACGTGAGAAAGAGATCGTAGACATCTGTGGTCAAAAACAGTCAACCTTTTCATGTCTTCAACTCGTATTGGCCATGTTTCAGAGCCATAGAGAAGGACGGAGTGAACCACTGAGCAGTACACACGTCCCTTGGTTGATAGTCGGATCACTATGCATCACTATGCAAACGACATGTCTGATATGGTAGGACCTGCAGGAACATTCACTCCAGCCAGTATAGCTCGCTGTTCAAGTCCGACAACCACCACATCAAGGTAGCAGCTATCCATCGAGGCAACTTTGTAGGACAGTACTATCAACCGTCACACAACGTGTATGACTGACTCATCACAGCCTGCTACATGATAAATCTGTTCAAGGTAACTGAATTCGAACTGATAAGATATAATCTTCATGCTCTTCTCATACATGATTACAACCACCCCCCCCCTCAAACAAATTTTTTTAAAGATTTTAAAATTGTCATAACTCACCTTTAACTCAGATTGTAATTCATTGACACAATTTTTTAATTTAATATTTTGACGCTCTTGTTCCGAGATAGTCTCTTCTAATTGTGATAACTTTTCCGTATGATTTTGTTCCATATGCTTTAATTTTGTTGATGTCTCATCTATTCAAACGACAACACAAAAAAGATAATGCAAATAGAAGTATAGGACTTCAGGTGAACATAGAGAAAACAGAGGTGATGAAGATTCCTGGGCAACACCACCAACAGACAACAATCAGCATAAGTGGGAGGAACCTGAAAGAAACAACCTCCTTCACCACCTACCTGGGAAGCATCGTTTCAACTACAGGCAGACGGAACTGACGAGGATATCAAAGCAAGAATCGGAAAAGCAAGACAAGCTTTCATTACTCTCAAGTCTGTGTGGAGGTCAACAGTGCTCAGCATCAAAAATAAGATCCGGATTTTCAACTCCAATGTGAAGTGAGTCAGTGCTACTTACTATACGGATCAGAGACTTGGCCAGCGCGTCATAAAGAGCATCTCAAACAAACTACAGACCTTCATTTACAGCTGTCTTCGCTCAATACTCAAGATCAGATGGCCAGCCGGCCAGAAAAGATCAGCAACAGAGATCTCTGGCAATGAGCGAACCAACACAGCAGGAACCGATTGTGAAACAAATAGGCAGGAAGAAATGGAGATGGATTGGCTGGCCATACTCTGAGGAAACAATCCATCAGGTGACATCACTAGACAAGCCATTGCTCGAGTGGAACCCGAAAGGGAAGCGGCGAGTTGGTCGTCAGTGCGAAGGTGGGGTGACTTGGAGGAGGTGATGTGAAGAGGAGATGAAAAGGTGTGGGCAGACTTGGAGCCAGGTGAAGACTCTAGCAGAGAACCGAACGCAATGGAGACGCATGGCTGAAGCCCTATGTTCCTCTAGGAATTAAAGGAAATAATAATAATAATAGAAGTATAGAAAATGAACCCCCCCCCCCGAAAAAAAATCGATATGCAGAGTTCATTATTCTAACAGAATGATCGACATTTATGCTGGAGATCCAGATTCGACTTCGAGTTCATGCACTTCAAAACTAAGCATCATTCACTAGCCGGTAGTGAGCTCAGAAAAGGTGTAAGGTTAGTTAGGACACTAGTAACCTCATCCCATGAAAATAACTCCGCCGTCATTGAAACTATAAGCAATTTGAAAACTATAGGCAATCGTGAGGCCAGCTAAAGAGGAGGGCAGATATTCGGACAAAGCGGAGATGTGATGTTGAAGCCCTATGTTTCATTTGAAACCCAAGAGAATACACAATCCTCTCCATGTCACTCTTGCACCCCAGCCTATCTCGTTATTTCCCATTCGGGTTCCATTCCAGTAATGGTCTGAAGAGTGATGTCACCTAGTGGTGGTCTCCTGAGAGTGTGTCCAAGCCATCTCCATTCTCTTTTACGATTATTTGTTGAGAAAGCAATAGGTGCTCTGGTTGAGTAGTTTCTTGTTCCTAATTATTTCTGACCACCCATTCGATCTGCAGCATCCGTATAAAGAGAATACAGCTGTTGATAAATGTCTTCAGTGGGCTGTTAGTAAGGAATTTCATGATGCGCATCGCAAATTACTGACCGATATATAAAAAAAATGACTTGTGTGTTTGTGTTGAAAATCCGAATCTCGTTCTTCATGTGTTGAGTGCAGTGCAGAAAATATTTCCAAACTGATTTCACAGCAAAGGTCTATCTTGCCATTCAGATTCCTGTTTTTTTTTGAAATCCTCATCCGTTCCTCCTACATTTGAAATGATGCTGTCTAGATAGGTGAAGGGGGAAGAGGCCTCTTTCAAATTTATTTCACTGATAGGGATTGTTTTGATCGCACTGCATCGATGTGATTGAGAGTGTGTCGTTTCAGTGTACGTGAGTTAGGGGATATGTGATTTCGTCTGAGATGCTTCCAAAATACTTTGGGATATTCATGTTTCTCGAGACAATTCTTAAAGAAGAAAATCTTTGCGTTCGCTTCAGCAAGCTTGACGGACAAACGCAGAAACTTGTTCAGTCCCTTTACCGTCGAACGGTCCTTGCTTCTCTTCAAATCACGGAATATACACATTGGGTCATAGGAGTTATTAAAAAGACAATTGCAGCAAAGGAAATTTTCTTTTCGACGAAGTCATCATCTAGGCTGTACATTCGCGTATTTATATCAAATGAATGGGAAAGTTCCAGAATAATTTCCGGTTAAGGGTCAAATTAATAAAAATTACAATTAGGAATTAGAATGCCATAATAAACAGGGGGGTGGATAAAACTCGAACAAAGTAGCATCATAATTACTAAGAAGATTGACATTGTGCAATTTGGGGGATAGAAATGTAGAAATAACAGAATAGACAGGTTTGGATAAAAAACTAATGTGATGAATAATTGTTTATGCAATCAGGGATTAAATATGTAGAAATAATAAAATGACAAAATAAACAGGAAGTGTGGATATGAAAATATGGTAGTGTAGACAGGGATTAAGAAAACTTAAAATAACATGAATAAACAGGAAGTTTAGATAAGAAAGGCGATGGGATGGTCATTATTAAAAAAATTTTTTACCTGTTTATGATGGCCATGGCAGGGACAGGGGTTGGACGTATTTCTTTTGGATACAAAGCGTGGGTTTGAGCTTTTGGATAGCTAGCGCCTCAGCTATTATAATGCTACTTTGTTCGAGTTTTATCCACCCCCCTGTTTATTATGGCATTCTAATTCCTAATTGTAATTTCTATTAATTTGACCCTTAACCGGAAATTATTCTGGAACTTTCCCATTCATTTGATATAAATACACGAATGTACAGCCTACCTAGATGATGACTTCGTCGAAAAGAAAATTTTCTTCGCTGCAATTGTCTTTTCAATAACTGCTATGATAGGGATTGGTGCTAGTTTTTGTTGTTGTTGGTTAGTGATCTTTATCACCTCCATCTCCACATTATCTATGTTCACCCGGAGTCCTGTATTCTCTGCCTGCTTCAGCCAAGTTGTTAGTTTTCTCCTGCAAGTCTTCGAGGAATTAAGTGTACACTGAACCTCTTTCGACTAACCCGACCACCTCTAAACGCGAGCGAGAAAAAGAAGGAAGACTGTATCGTTTAAGGTTTTTCTGCCTTCTTTTCGGGCAGTTTCTCTGCCAGTGACCGGTTCCTCCGCAAGCAAAGCACCTGTTGTTTGTTTTTTTCTGCATAGCTGCCACCTGTTGTTTCAACTCTTCAATCTGGTCTTCAATCTTCTTGGAATCTTGGCCCTCCGACATCACTGGAGCAACATGCGAGGTCATTATCTGCCTTGTCACCTTGGCCATTTCATAGACATCCATTGGCTGAGCTGCGTCAACTAGCTGCAACTGATGAGCGATATCTGTCGGGACGCATTCGAGGAACTGAGATGCAAGCAACTGCTCCCGTGAATCTTCGTCTAGGGTGGGTAACGCGCGTCGCAGGTGATTCGTCAGCGTTACTGCGAGAACCAACGGATCCCCATCCTGGCCAAGTCTCAGCGTCCGAAACTTCTGCAGCGCCTCTTGTCTGTCCGCAGGGCTGTCGAACTCGCACACGAGCCTCTCGACGACCTTGTCCCACGCCGCCTCACCTTCCAGCTCCCGAGCGTTGTCGTACGCAGCCTTCGCGCGGCCCCTCAGCAGCGTTCCCAAGACCACCAGCTTCGCCTTCTGCTCCTGCACTCCAACCAGCTCCGCGACAGCTTCGAAGTCCCTGAGGAACGTCCGCACATCTCCATCCTCGAACACCTGCGGCCACGGCACCTTCATCTCCGACAGAGGCAGCGACACCAAATGTGAAGAAGACAAGACTGAGGAGACTGAAAGGATTGTTTATTTGGTGAAACGTATGGTACATAGCTAAATTTGGAATACCATATTCTAAACCGGCCATTTGCACATCTTCACCACATCCTTGACGAATTGGTCGAATATCGTCTCATTCGATAGCTTCTTGGATTCTGCATCATATGGCAACATTTTTCTCATGGTTCTCTTCTTTGATTGCTCTTTTCAGTGTGCCAAACATGTTGTTACTTCGTTCCTGATATACTACTTATATCGGATTATAAGTAGCACTCACCACATTATTATTATCGTTTCCTTTAGTTCCTAGAGGGACATGGGGCTTCAGCTGTGCGTCTCCATTGCGTTCGGTTCTCCACCAACGTTTTCATCACCTAGCTCCACATTTGCTCACACGCTTCCATCTCCTCTTCACATCACCTCCTCCTCCATGTCACCCTCGCACTGACAACCAACTCGCCGCTTCCCATTCAACAACTTCCACTCGAGTGATGGCCTGCATTGCGGGTGATATCACTTGATGGTGGTTTGTTTTCTCAAAGTATGGCCAGCCATTCCACCTTCATTTCCTCCTGCATATTTCTTGCACAATTGGTTCCTGCTGGGTTGGTTCGCTTATTGCCATAGATCCCTCACTATTGCTGATCTTTTCTAGCCGGTCATCTCATCTTGAGTAGTAATGACCGAAGAGAGTTGTCGATGAAGGTGTGTAGTTTGTTTGAAGTGCGTTTCGTGATGCGCTGGCCAAATCATATGATGACGATTGTTGGATGCCTCAGGGGTAAGTATGCCTATGTTCCAGAATCTGACGTAGACTGAAGAGTTGAACACAATACACCCTTTTCCTGATCGAAAGCCTGTCTGGTTGCTAAACTACTATTGTTCCTTACCCTCACTCATGAATACTATTCAATTAAGTACTAAAAATCAAATATTTTGTTATAGAAAAACAAAACATGAAAAGAAAAAAGTCATTATTAACACTGAAGTCAATAATAAACAGTCGAGAGAGAGAGAGGGAGAGGGGATTGGATAACAACAGTAAAATGAACCAACCTATTTCAGTTTTATGCTGAATATTAAGTTCCCGTTGACTTGTGATTAATTTTCTTTCAAAATCTTTTGTCATCTCTTGAATATGACTAGCATGTTCAGCTTTCATCAATTCTATTTGCATTTGATAATTTTCATGGATTTCAGAGAGTGATTCACTACAATTGACAAGAAGATAAAAAAAAAAGAAGAGTTGAGAACAAGGATAAATATTCATGAAAAATGCAATCAAAATACTGAAATAATTTTGATTATGAATTTTAGAGATGATGACTAAAAACCATGGAGTAAAGGGAAAGTTGTTTGTTATTCTACCTCAGTTTTGGAATATGCGATTCACTACCATCAAATGTAAGATGATGCTACAGGTCTGGACTACACCAACTCACTCCTACCTTAAGGATAAACAGAAGTGAAGTGGTCGATAAGCCTGTTGACCACTTCAGCTATTAGGTAAGTTGCATCAGTCGGCCTCAGCGGGTTGATCGCTACCGAAATTCCAACACGGATACAAGAGGCTCGTTTAGCATATGCCAACTGAGATGGTCAGGGGCATCGATCACCTTCCTCGATGGGTAATGTTTGCTGACTGACATCGAATGGATGGATCAGATTGGTGGCCAAACCAAAACATGGCTCCATCAGTCAATGAAATCCACATTAGTTAGTTTAAGTAGGCAGCCAGCCAGCCAGCCACGTAAGGAGGTGTAGAATGCCAGATTTACTAGTTGGGGTCTTCAGGCTGGTAAAAGCCAATGAAGGCGATATGGTTTGAGATCCTCGTTCTCAATAGCTGGCGCAGATGCAGCTACTCTTTGTGACTTATCATATGCAAAAAAACTATGTTATTCTTCTATATTACTATTCATTTTGCCTCACATTATTATTATTCCCTTGCGTTCCGAGGGGAACATAGCGCTACAACAACACATCTCTACTTTGTTCTGTTTTCTGCCATCTTCTTCAGCTGGCTAGCTACACGATTGACCAAACTCTATCATCTCTTCCTCACACGATCTCCTCCATGTCACAATAGCACCGACGACCCACTCGTCGCTTCCAATTCGGATTACACTCGAGCATTGGCCTGCAATGAGCGCGGTGTCATTCGACGACCTCCTCAATTATGTCCGATCCATCCATCTCCACTTTCTCCTACATATTTGTTGAGCGATCGGCTCTCGCCAGTTGGTTTGTTCCCATAGAGATTTGACTGCCATTATATGCTTCGTTTGACGACGATGCGTAGAGTTACAATCTGATCAGCACATGATTTGCCTTTCTTGAATCCAGCTTGTTCCGGTGGGCGGCGGAGTTCTGCATCTCGTACATCTTTAATTCTCTCTAGAATAATGCAACTTAGTACTTTACTTGGCGTTGACAAGAGCATGATTCCACGCCAGTTCTTGCAGAGGCCTGGGGCGCCCTTCTTTGTCAGTTTAACGAATTAGCCTTTCTTCAAATCGATAGGTACTTTTCCTTCCTTCTAAACCTTTTTAAATAATTTTTTGAGAATACCTGCCTCTGTCTCTGGGTCCGTTTCCAGTGCTTCATGGTAGCGGGAATACCGTCTGGTCCTGCTGCCATCCCGGAATTCAGTAGCTTGATCGCATTTAAGATTTCTGCCTTTGTAGTGACCCATTGTATTGCTCATCATCGTACTATACTTTCATTGTGTAATTGTACTTTGACTTGTTTATTACTCTAAATCTTGCATGTTAACAATTGATACTTTTTGTACTCGCTCGATTTTTGAATTTTGATTGCTGCAATAATACACTATCGTATTCCTTCGCAAGTGCCTTTTGAATTACGTTGTGGATGTCGAGTAATCGCAACGTTAGGACACAAGTATAAACGCGAAGAAGTACTAAGATATACGTGTACTCTAGTGTAGTCAAAATAGAGCAGCACAACAATTGGTGACCCCGAAATAGCTGATTGATGAACTACAGCATTTCGAAGTATACACTGTGGAATAAGTCATCTTTGCCATCGCATTAACTTTTATAACTTCATAACATTTGGATGTATAATTACTAATATTTCTGCTAAAAGTACCTCCAGACCTGGCGGCACAGCGACTGCTATCCCAGTTCACCCTGATACTCAAGCAGCTCGCTGTTATGCAACACCTCAATTCCAGTTCTATGTCCTCAAGCTTCAGCACTGTCTACAGGTGTGCAAACACTCTTACAAATGGTCTGCAACTCCATTTACTCAAGCCGGTCCTACAGCTGTTCAATTACAACAGTTTACCCAATCACCTCAAGAACAACAGATTCAAGCACAAGCTCATCAGTTGCAACCAGCTCAACAGCGAACTTATATCCAACAACATCAGCAACAACCAACAATGATGGCAACTGACGTCTCTGTCAGTGGTCAACCTTGTACTGTAGCTGCACGCTCCTATGCTACTCCCCAGTTTATCATTCTGGCACCAGGAGCTCCATTAAAAGTCATGACTGTTGGTCCTAACGGTGAGTTGATTCAAATCACTGGTATACCGCAGTTTATGCCCACTGCTTCTGTTGGAATGCCTATCAACCAACCAACTGCTACTCTCCAACCTCAGCAAACATCAATTCAAGTACTCCTCAACGTCGAGTAACAACACCCCAGCAACAACAACAACATACTAACGAACTTTCACTTCCAACCGTATCAGCAGCAGCAGCTACTGCTGCACTCTTCTCTGGCACAGCCATCTCTTCTTGTACAATTCCACTTGTACAACCAGCTTTCATGGAAATAGAGGTAACTGAATGTTTACCCAAGTCATTCCCATACTTCCTTATTACTATACTATTAACTGTATGTTAAGGTATAAATCTATTCTGTAACTCTTTACAATAACAACCTCATTATTATTCTAATAATAATTTTTCTGCTTTTATTGTTACATGTTGCACAATTTTCTAAACATTTTGGTTCGTTTCGAAGTTGTTAACATTTTCGCATATAAACAGTTATATTATCAAACCTCAAAAACTTAAAATCCTCAATTCGGTTTTCATACCAGAAACTCGTATGTATTTCTTCTGTGATTGTAATTTACAATATCATTCCGAATACAGGTAAACTTCATTTACCTGCATTCTACGGAGGGGCTATTGTAGTGACCCATTGTATTGCTCATCATCGTACTATACTTTCATTGTGTAATTGTACTTTGACTTGTTTATTACTCTAAATCTTGCATGTTAACAATTGATACTTTTTGTACTCGCTCGATTTTTGAATTTTGATTGCTGCAATAATACACTATCGTATTCCTTCGCAAGTGCCTTTTGAATTACGTTGTGGATGTCGAGTAATCGCAACGTTAGGACACAAGTATAAACGCGAAGAAGTACTAAGATATACGTGTACTCTAGTGTAGTCAAAATAAAGCAGCACAACACCTTCGTTGGAGGAGTGGTGTCCATCGGCAGGCAGTTATGTGCGTGCTGTTGGTGTTGTTGGTATTTCTGGGCGAGTTGCAGGTGATGGTCAATCCAAGAGTCCTTTGAAGTGATCAGCCCATTGTTTTATTTGTTTGTTCTCCTTGGTAATCAGGTTCCCATGAACATTTTTAATTGGTTTCATCATCTGTTTTGATCTCTTTCCGGGTAGATACCTGGTTATTTGATATAACGTCCTGAGATATCTTTTGCCTGCGACCCGCCCTGTTTCAGTTGCCAGTGTGTCATAGAATTATCTAACATAATAAGCATGGCTAAAAGTCAGGTACCGGGTGACTAACTACCTAGTGTCCTTTTGGAAATGTGCAGGCGGTTGTTACTTCTCGACTGCACACACCATGTTGCTTGACCGCAGAGCCTAGAGTACAACTACTTCAGGCCGGTCACACACACGGTGCGTTTTAAATGGCTTTTAAGGTTTGGTTCCATATTAGTAACTTACTGCCCCATCAGCTATGAACCACCGTAGGATAACGTCAGGATGTACATTTTTTGACATGTAGCAACTCGAACTGTTGCACATCTGTACAAAGTTCTACGCTGAAACCAGTCAGTCAGTCAGACTAGATAACTAGCTAACTAACTTATTACGTGAATAACATTAAATCACAGGGCTCTGATCAATGTTATTACGAATTATTATTATTATTATTATTATTATTATCAAATAATGCACTTCACATGCATAATGTTATACACAAACAGACAAAAAGATGAGGCCTACTTACTTTAGTAGATTGTTATTCTCCATTGTATTTTTACTATGATTCGCTTTCAGCTCTGAATTTGCTTGTTCTAACTCGCTTACTTTTGATTGTAATTGTTCCACTAGGTTACATTGATTTTTATATTCTATTTGTAGTTGATTCAACTTCTCTTCAACTTCATTCAATGATCCTTGTAGGTCAAGTTCACGACGTGACTGACTGCTTGAAGACTTTTTACTTATTTCTAATTCTTGTAAAACTTGTTTCAAACGATTTTTCAACTCCTAAAAGATAATAATAATAATAGTAATAATGGTAACAACAATATATGAGTTATGTAAGACATTGTCTATATAAAATCATTTTATATAGATATTCATAAAAAGCTAAGGGTGTAGCAATCAGAGGACAATTGTTGCTGAACAGAATAATCGCTCTACACCAATTTGGTTATGTAACAGTCAACTGTTTTTTTTATTTTAATACAGACTTACCTACTTGTTTGTTCGTCGATACACACACTACAGCTACGGATGATAGACTTAGACGCTCGACTTCCGACCACTAGTTCACGATCCGAAACCTATTCCACATGTGGAAGTTAGGACAGACAAGATTCTTCAGAACATACACACACACACACACAAAGGAGGTGCGGGTAATTGTTGCTGAGAGGAAACAGCTGAAACTAGTTTAAACAAGCCAAAATCAGCCACTATTATTATTATTATTGTTTCCTTTAGTTCGTAGAAGGACATAGGGTTTCAGCTGCATGTCTCTATTGCGTCCGGTTCTCCACCAAAGTTCTCATCTGGCTCCAAGTCTGCCGGCATACTTTCATCTCCTCTTCACATCACCTGCCCCTCCATGTCACTCTCGCATTGACAACCAACTCACCGCTTCCCATTCAACACCTTCCACTCGAGTGGTGGCCTGCGTTGCGGGTGATGTCACTTGATAGTGGTTTGTTTTCTCAGAGCATGAGCAATCCAACTCCATTGGCTCCTGCATATTTCTTGCACAATTGGTTTCTACTGGATTGGTTCGCTCATTGCCAGAGATACCTCACTATTGCTGATTTTTTGTGGCCGGCTATCTGATCTTGAGCGAAGTACTGAGCGAAGACAGCTGGTGATGAAAGTCTGTAGTTTGTTCGAAGTGTCATTCGTGACACGGCACGGCGCCAAGTCTCTGATCCGTATAGTGACTAGCACTGACTACACATTGAGGTTGAAAATCCACATCTTATTCTTCATGCTGAGTGGTGTTGATCTCCACACAGACTTGAGAGTAATGAAGACTTGCCTTGCTTTCCCGATGATCCTCGCCTTAATGATATCCTCATCAGTTCCGTCCGGCTGTATTGGAAACGATGCTTCCCACGTAGGTAGGTAGGTAGGTGGTAAAGGAGGTTGCTTCCTTCAGATTTCTCCCATTTATCCTGGCTGATTGTTGTTGCTGTTGTTTGTTAGGGATCTTCATCACCTCTGTTTTCTCTATGTTCACCTGAAGTCCCTCCTATCTTTGATGCTTCTTCTGCCAACTTGTTGTTTTTCACTTGCATATCTTCCAGTTTATGGAAAATCAGACAAATATATGTCATCGGCGAAATCCAGACCCTCCAAGTTTTCTGTGTGCGTCCATTTTATGCCTGTCTCCTTGTTGCCCGCTGTTTGTCGCATTATCCAGTCTACCGGAATCAGAAAAATCATTGGAGATAAATGGCAGCCCTGTCTTATTCAGCATCTTCACTTTGAAAGACTCCGTGAGTTTCCCGTTGTCGATTACTCGCTATGTAACATTATCGTACAACTGTTAGATGAGCCAAAACAGGATTAAATTAGTTTGAACAAACTAAACTATCTGCATAAAATGTGCTCCAGAACACGTGATCTACCAGTGTAGTTAAATAAAGGTGTTGCTGAAACCGTCAATAGTTCTATATTGGACCACTATATGCAAACAGGCCAAAAAGCTAGCTAGCTTCAACATTCCGAACACTCTAAACAGTAGAGACCAAGAAACAGATACGGCCACTATTGCTAACCTGGACTACTGTGGAACCTACAAATTCATAAATTCTGCATGATATTTTCCTTAATATATCTGATATATATTCAGTTTAGTGTTATACGGAAGCCTTTGAACTGTAATCTATCAACACTGATTGATTCAGTGTTATTTAGGAAAATGATAAATGTTGTTAATACCTATAATGCTTTAAGTGTTGGTTTGCAGGCATTTGATTTGATTTTTAATTCGCGAAAAATACCCATTAAGACATTGAAATAAGAACAAATTAGTTCAGCGTTCAGCGAAGAGTCTCTTTTCGGCGAATTCATTCACTTAGCTGTACAGTCGCAAATATATACAATTAATTTTTGTGTGTGTGTGTACATTAGGTTTGTCAAAATCAAAATAACAGTTAGTGTGGGTTGTTGATTACATCATCAAAATAATTAAGAAATTAAAATGTGTGATTAATAATCAAAGTTGTAACTAAGTGGGGTGAAGATTGGTAAGATGTGAGTAGGATTACGTAATATAGACATGTTTAGAAAGATTAGATGTTAGTGAAGGAGTATGGAGACAATTATGAAAATAAACTAGATAATAGGTGAAAAGATTGAATGGGTTAGTTACTAAAAATTATTATACGAAAATTGCAAAAACAAAATTTGATAACAAAATGTTGATGACAGATAAACTTGAAATTAAACCCACGGTAGTAGGAGGGGATGGAGAAGTTTCTTTTGTATGCATACGTCAGGCTTTTCTATCCAAATCACTAAGGCTTCAGCAATACAAAGTATACGGAAGCTTGTCGATTTTGGAAGGCTTCTTTTGACTTTATAGGTGACTTTGAACGACTTCTCCTTGCAAATCGAATGACCAGTGTTGAGTATATGCTCAATAATGGCGCTCCTTATTGCTCCGTTGTTACCTTTCCGTAGCCAGGCGGGATAGTGTTCTTGAACTCTTTTAGATAAAACTCGCATCGAACGACCTATATACCTCGCTCCGAAAGAGCAGGTGAATTGGTAGATACACATGGAAGTGGTCAAATGCGATAGTTTATCTTTAAAGTAGTTGAAGAACAATGGACGGGGGGAAAATGTCAGTCGTAGTGTGGCAGCGAACAATGTCCTTCTGAGAGCAGTAGATATCCTCTTCTTCAAGGTGTCAGCCAGAAGGTCACCTTTGAAGGGTACATTCATGTAGACCATCTTCTTCTGCACTGTAATGGGTTGTTCTTTGTAAGTCTTAGGCTTAATATGCTTGTCTATAAAACGAGGTGGGTAGCCATTCTCGAGCAGTGTCTTCCTTAAGAGGGCGATCTCTTCCTCTATTGATTCAGGACTGCAGATTTTTCGGATTCTAGTCGTTGATTTGATTTAATTGGTTACAGGATTTCATCATGATGAGCTGACATCGGTTGGAGTGTAAGGACAGAAGACAAGAGCCAGCCAACAGATCATTTATTGAGGAAATCAACAGATATTTATAGATTTTTATGTACATTATTATTTGTTATTGTTAGTAGAAAAGCAACGTCTTCTGATTGGTGGTTTTCTTGCTCAAGGTTATTCTGTCATCTCTTTGTGGCCATTTTTTAGACAGTCCGGTGATATATCTGCGAATGGTATGCACCCACGCTAAGTCTGTTGTGATTGGTTGTTGAAGTTCCTCAAGGTTAGGCTTTGTTCTTGTTTTTCTCATGACCCCGATTCGGGACGTAAACAGTGACGTAAATTGCTGTCGAACAACTTTGGCTAGTAGACAGCTCTCACTGCAAAAGAGAACCATTGGAAAACCTGGCAGGTCATTAACCCTACACACACTGACCCAGCTGTCGCTCTTTATCCAGGATTAGGAGCGGAGAGATACCAGAGAAGTCACCTCTTTCGTTTACTCCTGAAGTATCGTCTCAATTTCCGCTGGCAAAGATGAGAACGTCGAAGCTAGCCATAGTCAGAAAAGCAAAACAGACATTCTTTACTCTGAGATCAGTCTGGGAATCTACTGCAATCAACAAGGTTTGACATTTTCGACATTCATGTCAAATCAGTTACTGCTTCTACTCTATATGGTTCACAGACTTCAGGCGTATGCTTCACCATAAGCATTTACAACAGGCTATTTTGAAGACTTTCATCAACCAACAGCAGTCTTCGATTGATACTGAAAATCCAATCGTTCAGAAAAGGCTAACAATGAGGATTTCTGGAAGCACAACAAACCAACACAACAACAACAACAACAAAATATAATAATCACCCGACAAACATGCAGGAAGAAATGGAGATGAACCAATCATCCATTGAGAAGACAGTTGACAGTTGATACATTACACCCCAGATAGGCAGGCAGGCAATCGATTGGAATCCGACCAAGAAACGACCAGTTGAACGTTAGTCTGAAGGTGACATGGAAGAGAATATGTGAAAAGGAAGTGGAGACTTACAGGCAATTGTGAAGTGACTAAAACGTCTGCAGAGAAGAACAGGACAGAGTAGAGATGTCCTGTTGAAGCTATATGTCCCTATCAGACTAAGACCCCAAGGGAATAATAATGATATTAACATAATAACCAATTATGCGTCAGACTGTTGGCGGCGTGAAGTCAAAAACACGCTGGACGACCGATAAGAAGACTCTAGAAGATCTGGATTTTGCAGATGATAAATGTCTAGTGTCATACAAACTCGAAGACTTGTAAGCGAAAATCAACAAATCGACTGAAGAGACAGCGAAAACAGGACTGCAGGTGAACACAGAGAAGACGGAGGTGATGAAGATAACGAACCAACCAACCAACAACAGCAACAACAACCAGCACCAATCATCATCAACAGGAGAGATTTAACAAAGCTTACCTCCTTCACTTATCTGGGAAGCATCGTTTCAACTACAGGTGGATGGAATGGACGAAGATGTCAAAGCTGGCCAGAATCGGAAAGGCAAGACAAGATACGCCTTCATCAACCTGAAAAACCAGTTTGGAAATCTGCACTCCACCTCAGCATAAGAAAAAAGATTCGTATTTTCAACACCAATGTCATGTCGGTCAGTTCTTCTATACGGGTCAGAAAGTGGCATTGCGTGTCACGAAAAGGATTTCCAACAGTCTGTTGCAGACTTTCATCAACAGCTGCCAACTTCGCTGGCTGGCTCCATACTGAAGATCAAATGGCCGGAAGGAATAAGCAATAAGAAACTATAGGAACAAAGCAAATGGCGAGAGCCGATCGCCCAACAAATATGTAGGAGAAAGTGGAGATGGATGGATCGGACATAATTGAGGAGGTCGTCGAATGACACCGCGCTCATTGCAGGCCAATGTTCGAGTGTAATCCGAATTGGAAGCGACTAGTGGGTCGTCGGTGCTATTGTGACATGGAGGAGATCGTGTGAGGAAGAGATGAGAAAGTTTGGTCAATCGTGTAGCTAGCCAGCTGAAGAAGATGGCAGAAAACAGAACAAAGTAGAGATGTGTTGTTGAAGCGCTATGTTCCCCTCGGAACGCAAGGGAATAATAATAATAATAACCAAAGACTATTCTCAGACAGACGACTCACCATTATCAGTTCAGTTTGTAACTTATCCCTTAGTTAATCTTACTCATTTCATGTGCTCCAAGTGGAACATATGCCGGTCAGCTGTATATCTTGCTAAGTTAATTAGCTAGTTCAAACCTCAAAAATAAGCGAAGGTTAGTTTTTTGGGATTAGTAACACAATCATACATAATACATACAACATGACTCGAACTCATGAAGTATAAAAAAACATCTGAAAATAAAAGCAAAACCACACTTACTAGACTTTGTTGTTTCAATTGTTTCTCTTTAGCAATAACAGCAGAGTCAACAGCTTTGTTTAAAGCGCTTTGATGTTCTTTTTTCAATTCAGTAATACATTGTGATTTTTCCTGTTCAGTTAGCTCTTTTAACTTTTGTAATTCTTCTTCATAATGTGTTTTCATCTCTTCTAAACTATTCGCATGCTTTTCTTGTAATTGATTTATATCATTTTGTAAATTATTACATTGAATTTGAAGTGAAGCGATGGTTTTATCCGATTCTTCTAGAGTACTGTTAATCTAAACACAAAGGACAATGGTAACATAGAAGAGTTAGCATAATTAACAATTTCTTGATGGAATTTAATTTTAAAATAGAGAAAAAAACTGCTGCAACACTATTGGGTGTAGTTGTAGTTATCTTGAAAAGAATATTTTATCAAATGGATTCATAATGAAAAAAATCAGCGAAACCTTCCTTTATAATAAAGTGAATACAAGAGAGTAAGACAAGACTGACTGACTGACTGACTGACCAATACTACAACCGCCTGTCATAATATTCCTCGACGGGCAATGTCAGCCACTGACTTAGAGTCAGCTTGGGATAAAGCCAGTAGTGGTCAAACGAAAACATGGCTTCATCAGTCAATGAAATCTACAACAGTTAGTTTAAGCCAGCCACGTGGGAAGGTGTAGACTGGCTAACTGACTGGTTGGGGTCCACGGGACGGTAAAAACCGATGAAGGCTGGAAACAATTGGTGATACGTCTAAAAATCCTCATTCTCAATGGCTGGTGCAGATACATCCACTCCTTGTGACTTATATTATTCAATAAAGCTATATTGTTCTTCGTTATTACTATTCTTTTCGCCTCATATCTCTGTTTACTATTTATATTTTGCCTTTCTTTTTACTTTCTTCTTCTTTGGCTTTGTGTGCTACAAGGAGGGAGTGTGGTGACTAGAACTGGTGCACATCAGCGCAAAGTTCTATGTTGAAACCAGTCAACAAGTCAGTCAGTCAGTTAACATACTTTTATGTAGAAACAACTGCAGTAGGTCGTTGAGGAAATTATCCATAAGAATATCCTTTACTCAATCGTTCTTTTTCGGTTATTTCAAGTAAATTATTTGGAGAATTAATTATCTTATATGAGAGTATTGATATGATGATTTGTGTGAAATATACAATTAACTTGAAGGCTTTATTACAAGTCTTATAATGACATTGTTTTTAATTCGCACCATTTCTATCTTCTATGAGATACCTCACCAATAATGGATTAATATACTCTACAGCTGTGTACTTTTCACTAGTCTATTGTCATGAGAAGTGACCGTTGGAGATGAAAACGGTTTTCTAATTGTAGATGTCGTCGTAACATTGTTTCTGCTGCTGTTGTTGGTAGAGCTGCATACTGACTGACTGATTGACTGGTTTCAACGTAGAACTACTTTGCACAGATGTGCACCAGTTCGAGTTGCTACACTGCATGCAGTAAAGAAAGCAATAGAAGAGAGTAAAAGGAGACTCAAAAGAGAGTTGATAAGCAGAAGTGTAGGGGAAGAAAGAATAGTAGTAATATGGAAAAGCATGACTACATCCGCACCAGCCATTGAGAACGTGAATTTTGAACCATATCACCAGTTGTCTATAGCCTTCATTGGTTTTCACCATCCCGAGGATCCCAACCAGGAGGCCACTCTACAACTCTCTACGTGAATTAAACTGAACGTTAAAGATTTCATTGACTGATACCATAATTTGGCATGACAATCATTAGCTAGCTCTTTCCCAACTCGATCCATCCTGTCAGTTAGGTAACATTGCCCATTGAGGAAGTCTGTCGGTAATTAGACATGCATGAGCAACACATGTCTTAACAATCTCAACCAGTCGATGACGTTGTGAAGCAACGGAGGTTCGAAAATGCTGACCACAAAAAAATGTACATCCCGACTGAACTTACACAGGTCCATAGTTGATGGGAAGATATTAATATGAACACAAGTCGAAAAAGCTTAAGCGACTGACTTCGTGGAGTTCTAGCCTAGGCTCTACAGTCAGTCATGCAAAACTAATTTTCCTTCTGTTTAAAGTACCCCATGATGTTCGTTAGTAATCAGACAAACTTCAGTCAAAGGATCCTAAATTTAGGTTTGACTCCATGACAAAGTATGTATTATAAATTAATATATATAACCTCAAGTATACCACATTATATGATGATCAATTGAATTAAACATTAATGATGCACGAGTGAATTAAATTATTTCAATCAAAATTTCACACAGGTATATATGCATACATACAAATAATGAACAATCCAATAACACACAAAAGGAGTTGCCTAAAACCGCTATTCAAGAGAGCCAAGACTCATTGCAGCACCGCACCTTAAGGAAAAGCGAAAAAAGATATCTCATGGACGTCTGTCTTCCAAAAGAATGGATATCCAAGGAACTTCATCAAAAGACGTCTACCCCGAAGCCAACCTACCAACCAATTCAAAGGACCCACCAAGGAAATCACAATGAAAATCATCTAACAATAAATAAAGGACATCTCAGAAATCACTGCAAGACTCTTCAAACCTTTAGGAATTGATGTTGCATACAAACCAACCGAATCCCTTCACTCGGTTGGCGCTATGTCAATCAAAAGACCCAACAGCGAAAGAAGATAAACCAAACATCATCATCTACAAAATAAATTGTAACAACTTCGAAAAACACTACATTGGCCAAAGTGGACGTCCCCTTCATCTTCATATCCATGAGTATAAACTAGCCGTCAAAAGGCGTCATAACATCCACTCCCTCACTCATACCGCTGCATACGGACAACCACCGACATCAATTCGACCAGGACAACCAACGTTCGAATACTAGACAGAGGAAACACCAAGAATGCTAGAGAATTTTTAGAAGCGCGTCTGGTATTCCAGTGAATCGTCAATCAATAGGCACATTGACATAGACAAAATTGACCAGTCGATAAGATGGAAATCTCATATACAAAGGATCAAACTTCAGGTCAAGGAAACAATCAGTACCAATACTACAAGTAGCGCCGAGAGTGTGAAAACACACAAAAATAACCAGTCACGTGCAAGGTCATCAGGAGAGATAACTAATAAACTTGTAAAGAAAATTAAAATCTCACTTCAATTCATATTGAAGTATTCACTGAAGATATTGTCCAATAGGACAATGAAAGGTTTGCAAATACAGAACCAATATTATTATGATAAATTTGTTGTAATTGTCTTAAAGATATATATATATATACATAGTGGGAGCGAACCAACCAGGAACCGATTGTGAAACAAATAGGCAGGAAGAAATGGAGATGGATTGGCCACACTCTGAGGAAACCAGCAAGCGACATCACTAGACAAGCCCTCGAGTGGAAACCGAAAGGGAAGCGACGAGTTGGTCGTCCAAGGGTGACCTGGAGGAGATCATGTGAAGAGGAGATGAAAGCATGTGGGCAGACTTGGAGCCAGGTGAAAACTCTAGCAGAGAACCGAACTCAATGGAGACGCATGGCTGAAGCCCTATGTTCCTCTAGGAACTAAAGGAAATAATAAATAATAAGTTCAGTGTATTAAAATCATTGACAGATTGATTAAGATCATAATGTTTTCCCTACAACTTCATAACAACTGCCCCCAGCAAGTGAATTCAATCTGATTGAGATGTAAACAATGGTTCACATACGGTGAATGGGATTACAAAAGTTGTGTCTAATCTGAAAACAAAGCAGAACAGTAAAACCGTATACTGTGACTCCGAAGATATTTAAAAATAGGTGTGATGAATTACTGGTTGCATTTACTACAGCGTCAACGCTCTATTGGCTGACTGCGTGCCATCGTAGAACCTTGCCCAAAAGTAAAACAGTTCAAGATTTCCTCTCTGTCTGTCTGGATTCAGTATAGAACTTCGCACCGAAGTGCAGCAGTTCGAGTTGCCACCTTCCAAACAGCACACAGAGGTAGACAAGAAAGTGAGTGAAGAGAATCAATAGAGTTTTGACAAGTGTAAGAGTGAAACAGAATGAGTAATGGTAGAAAGGAATATGAAAGATTACAGAGACTGAATACATCTGCGTAAGCCATTGACAACGATTTTGAGCCATGTCACCTATTGTCTCCAGCCATTGATTCTTAGAGTCCCGAGGGCCCCAACCCGGAAGTCTGCATCTCCCTACCTGACTCAGTTTAGCTGTCAGGGATTTCATGGATTGATGCCATGTTTCTGTTTGGCCACCACTTACACTTTCCCAAACAACCTGCACCTATATCAGCTAGTAATGCCCGTCAGTCGTGGGAGGCGATGGCTAGGCATGCGCAGCACGCGACCTAGCCATCTCAATCTATGTAACTTTATAGCCTCTTCGATTGATTTTCCCTCTTTGCCCAACACTCTACGCCTAACGTCAACATTACTTACCTTATTATACCACCTAACGTGAGAAAGAGACCGTAGACATCTATGATCAAAAACAGTCAACCTTTTCATGTCTTCAACTCATATTGACCATGTTTCAGAGCCATAGAGAAGGACGGAGCGAACTGCTGAGCAGTATACACGTCCCTTGGTTGACAGCCGGATGTCACGCCTACGCCAGAGACGGTGTAAGTTAGCGAAAGCAGCCCGAGCTTTCTGGATCCGTGCTGTGATTTCATCACCAATCAGTCAGTTGGTGCTGGTACAACTTCCCAAATAGATGAAGTGGTCAACATGTTCTATCACTTTACTCCCTATCACTAAGCTAGGAGTTGACGTAGTCCAGTCCTGTAGCAGCATCTTACATTTTACAGGGGCTGTAGGCAAGTTAAATTGTTCCTCAAAGTGTTCTTTCCAGCGTTCAAGGCGTCTATCCTGAGAGGTAATTAAGGAGCCATTTTTCTCAGAAATAGTCTCACTTATGGTATAAGTATAAAACTTGGGCACTGTGGTAGAGTGTAACTCCATTATGGATAAGATTTTATTTGATAAATCACACAGTGTTACACAGTATTATTAACTGATGATGATGATGATTATGAGCGATAATTTGTGCTCGAAACGTCATCAGTTAATAATACTGTGTAACACTGTGTGGTTTATCAAATAAAATCTTATCCATAATGGAGTCTCACTTATGATTTGCCTTCTCCCACCTGTTTCCCTGATGAGTCTAAAGAGTTGCCTAGTGTTGCCTATCGCCGATGCTTTTTCCATGTCTTTCGCCTTTGTCACCCACCACTGCTCATGGTCCTTGCGGAGACTTTTCGTAAGTTTCCTTTTGTGCAGCTTTCGCTCCCCATTGAATTCGGAGCTCACCGGAATAAGTTTTCTAGCAATTATCAGTTCAGTTTTCTACATTTCATAAGTATGCAAATCTTATATATATATATATATATATATGATGAGGAGTGACGGATCTTGGACAGTGTATACAGAGTGAATAGACCTGTTCCACTGCGAAGAAGGAACTTAAGCCATGTCACGTGACTTGCCTCAAATAACAAACAGTCAAAGGTTTCATAGATTGATGAAATGTTTTGCTTTGACCATCATCAACTCTCTTACACACACATTAATATCAAGTCATCTAAGATTGTATATACTTGACGTGGAGGGGGCAAGGCCATGAATTGGCGCATGTTTAGCACAGCACAGTTCTCTCTAGTTATCTCAGTGCATACAGCTTCACAACCAAGGTTCAGGAGAGATGACTAATTCAAGTATGAAGTATGCACTGAAGATATTGTCTAATAGGTAGGGCAATGAAAACTTTACAACAACAACAACAACAACACTTACTAAAGATTCTTTCTCCAACAACTCATTAGAAAGTTGATTTGATTTCTCTTTAGCTGAATTCAATTGATCTTCTAACTGACTTAGTGTTTGTTGACTTTGTTCATATAATTTCACTTGATTAGTATATTTTTCCATTAAAACTGTTTCATTCTGTTTCAATGCATCAATAGATTGATTTGCTTCACTTAAAGCTGTTTCAACAGCAGAAATATTTTTACTTTCTATTTGAACAGTTTGCTTGAATGTTTCATAATCCATGTGTGATTTAGCCAATTGGTCAGTAAGACATTGACAGTCTGTCTTTAATACATTTATTTCACTTTGTAATTTATCTATTGTAGATTGATAAATGCTAATCGAGTGTTTTATAATATCATTATGATAAATTTGTTGTAATTCTCTTAAAGATTTAGTGTTCAGTGTATTAAAATCATTGACAGACTGGTTAAGATTTGATGTGAATGCATTGAATACATCTGAAGCGATTAAGGCAGAAAATAATTCCAGACTGTGATTTGTTTCAGTAGCATTAAATTGATTGAATTGAGTCATATCTTTGTCTAATTTATTAAATGATTCTTTCAATTGTTCAATGGTTAATTTCGCTTGACTACAAGCATAAGAGACTTGTTCATAATTATTATTATTATTATTATGAGTAGTATTATCAGTAGTATTGATAAAGTTTAAGTATTCATTTATCTCGTCTAGCATAGAAGTAATTCTTGACTGACACAAGTTAATCAATGTACGATACAGTAGGAAATGTTTGTTACGTAAAAATGATTCAACTGTTTCTTGGAATGCTTTGTACTGATTTAATTCTTTATGCAGTTCACTTATCTATTGTGAATAGAAAAAAAAAAGAAAAATAGGGCAGCAATATTCATAAATAAATAAAATATAAAGGCATTAGCAATCCAGTGGTAGAATATTCAACAGCTATGCTACCGTATATGTGGCTTACGGTTCGATTCCCGGTCGACGCATCTCTTATCCACGCCTAGTTTATCATTATTATTATTATTATGACTATTATGACTATCTCCTTTAGTTCCTAGAGGGACATGGGGCTTCACCTGCACGTCTCCATTGCGTTCGGTTCTCCACCAACATTTTGATCACCTAGATCCACGTCTGCCTACATGTTTTCATCTCCTCTTCACATCACCTCCTACTCCTCCATGTCACCCTCTTAATGACGACCAACTCACCGCTTCCCATTCAACACCTTCCACTCGAGTGATGGTCTGACGTGTAGGATTACTCAGAGTTCGGCCAATCCACCTTAATTGCTTCCGGCATATTTCTTGCACAATTGGTTTCTACTGGGTTGGCTCGCTCATTGCCAGCGATACCTCACTATTGCTGATATTTTCTGGCCGGCCATCTGATCTTGAATATTATTGAGCGGAGACAGCTATTGATGAAAGTCTGTAGTTTGTTCAAAGTGCCATTCGTGACACGGCGCGGTGCAAAGTCTCTGATCCGTATAGTGACTAGCACTGACTACACATTGAGGTTGAAAATCTACATCTTATTCTTCATGCTTAATGGTGTTGATCTCCACACAGACTTGAGAGTAATGAAGACTTGCCTTGCTTTCCCGATGATCCTCGCCTTAATGGTATCCTCATCAGTTCCGTCCGGCTGTATTGTCAATTCCAGCGAAAAAGTCAACTTATCTAATTAAACCATGTTCCCACTAGATATGGTATCAGTGAGTTACGAACGTCTCACTAACTGAATCAATATGCTACATTTACGAACATATTCAAAGGAGATGGACATTGGTATAACCACTGATTATTTGAAGGAACTCCTATTGAGATACACTCTAAATGTCTAATTCTCTTTAAATGATGAAATATATCCACAAAAGGATGGTGTATAGCTATGGGCTCACCACTAGACCAGTTGCTGGCAAACTTTTTCATCATTATCTCCAATAATGAAGAGAATTTGGAAGAAATTCTGGGTTTCTTCAGCAGTTGCTACCCTAAAATCCAGATCACATTAGAGAAGGAGTCCGACTCAAAAACGCCTTGTCTGGAAGTTCAACTTGCAAGACCTGAACAAGATGGAACACTAAAAAGATCCATCTACAGAATGCTGACACAGAACGGACAATTCAATAACTTTCTTAGCTGGTTACTCTCTTTACAAAACGGAACTTGATGCGTTCATTGAGCCACAGAATCTACAATTCAACGGAGACTCACTGGTAGAAATATTGGTTAACCGCCCGTCCTGCTCATTGAAGAAAACCTACATCGCGGCTGAACTTTGACTAACTGTCTCCACAGAACCAATGATTTACATGACTGTGAAGAATTAGCTACCACTGCTGGCCTCCTTAATGTCTATCTATCAATTCACCTGCTCGCGTGGTAGTACCCAACATTTCCTATCCAAACGTATTATTGAACGCTTACCCTTATGGTTTCAGAAGAAAGAAAAGAGGTCCCCCAGCTGTATCTTGAAACACATGATCGAATCTGGACACCAAGCTAACCTACAAGGGAACTTCAAAGTCATCTACAGAATATGCGATAATTTTGCTTAAAGAGTACGAATGAGACTTTTTCAAACCGCAGAAGCAATAGCAGTCCACATGTTCAGTGACAAAATCGATAACACCGGATACGTAATTTTCATTTTTTTTTGTCTTTTTTTAATCGTATTATTTTCTTCTCTCATCCCCTATTAAATTTCTACCCTTTATTACCATTGTTGTCAACTTGACTCTCATTCAGCTCTAGTTGAATTCTACTCATCCCAGTCAATTATATTACGTCATTCACTTTACTTATTAGACTTTATTTTAGCTTCTACCCAGTCAATGTTCTTACAGTACGTCATTTGTTATTTAAAAACTTCACAATTCCAGGGACACATCTTTAGAAATATTCCTTTTACCGCTATGAAAATTTATTATATATATATATGCGACTGTACAGCTTGAGAGAGATATCACTGAAAGAGTAACTCTTCGCTAAACGTCTTTTCTCATATAAATACACATATTTGGACAGGCTAATCAAAACTATGTCATATGGTCGACGGTGAGTAACAGTGGGATACATGATGCGCGTTTCGTCCAATACGAGACTCGTCGATTGGATGTGCATGCTGTAACTAGTGCGTGATGGTGTTTCTCGCACCACTAAAACTCCAATCAAGTAGCCACAGTTTTAATTGCCAATGTGTTATTTACTGAGCCAGTGAAAATTATTATTATTATTTCAACCTACTTTTAAGTTGATCGCATATAGCAACACATATTGAGAACTATTCTTACGCCACACACACACGCACACAATTTCAAGAAAAAAACAACTGACCTCATTTTGTTTTTCCGTAACATCCACTCGCAAATCTTTCGTATCATTATCTCGTGTAATTAATTCATTTTTAGCATTCAATAAGTCTTGTTTTAATTCATCAATTGTGCTACGGTAGTCGTGGATACGTTTGTTTATTGACTTCAATGTTGGATCAACACTTGTAATGACATCATCTAAACGCTGATTGGACATTTCAAGGACATTCCAAATAGAGTCAACTCTATTGGTCAATTGATTTGATTGGTTAAAAAGTAATTCACAGGCATTATTTGATAAACTAATTAATTCAAGGATGTTTTCTTCATTTTCTTTAGAAAGTATTGTTTCATTCTTATGGAAATTATCTAACAGATTAGTAAGATGTTTATTTTCTTGCATTGATTTTTCTAACTGATCTTGAATTGCTTTAATGCTGTCATTGGCTTCCGAGAGTTGTTGGCGTAAATTCTGTTCTTCCATCTCATGCTTTTTCATGTCTTCACTAGTTTTTTCTGATTCATTGATATATTGAAGCTTTAAGCTATCCAATTGGTTTTGAGTACTACTTAGAGTTTGCTGAAGTGACTGAATCTAAAATCAAGATAGAAAAAAACATAACAACTGATTATTGTATAACAGAATGGCAAAATGTAACTTCAGTGTAGAGCACTGGGGGAAGCACCCCTATAAACGACTTGGTACGGTCGAGGGTGGATAGACTTTGATCTTCCACTCGAATGGCTCTCATGTGGTCACACGTTCAAAAACTTCTGCCTTCACGTGGAGAAGGAGTTTCTCACAATAGTAAAAGGGTGAATGTAAACGCCTGAGGCTTATAACCAAACTGATCGGTGGATATCTACGTCTGCCTAGAGCAGCTGAACAACCCTGATTCCAAACCTATGGTATGAATGGGCAGCTCGAGAATCCAAAAGGATCAAATGGCATAAAAAGCTATTTCGGTCACCGGCAACCATGAGAACGTAGCTCATGACGCTACTGCACTGCCTTGTGGATCAAGCTTCATGTCCTCCCTATAGCTTCATGGTTTTCAATGATTCTCCAATTGCATGGAGGATTTCATCATGAGCTGAAATCAGTTAGAGAACCACTGGAAAACCTGGGAGTACTGGACAGCTGTTTCGTCTTAGTTTGGGACTCTTCATCAGTATGAACCCACCGGGATTCGAACCCAGGACCTTCTGGTTACAAGGCGAGCTCGTAGACCATTAACCCACTGGGACCCGATCCAATGGTCCTTGAATTCTAACTTCTGCCAATTCACGACATAGCGCGACCATTTCGCAATGTCTTCTTCGATGAGTTACTGCCTCATCTTCAACCTGCTGTACCCTACTGGTCACGGCTTCCTACTGGAACCCCAGGTTAACTGCCTGAATAGGGCCAGTCACTAGTGAGCATCAGATTCTCCAATTGATGTTGGTGCGTCAAGACAAGCTACATTGAAATTAATCTAAATTCCTGAAAAAACCTCAAAATGAAATTTAATCTTTTCTATTCACATACAGATTATTTTCATAGATTTGAAAGTAAACAGTGCAGCATTTCACTAACTAATAAAATGATGCCAACTGTAAAGAACAGACACCGACATCGAATGACCTTGAACCAGCTCCAATCAGATGGTTCAGCATTACAAATGGATGCTGTTCACATAATCTTCGTTGCAAGTCTCACTCAGATATGGTTTTTGACTTCTGTGTGTGGAAAATAGGTTAATAGGAAGAACTTAATTATGCATATGTGGAGGAATACTGACTCTCCAGAAGTATTGCCGGGCTATTGATGATGGTTATGCATTCAGATGCAATTACTGTTATGTCAGGAAGTCTGTAAGAGTTGTTGGTAAATTGTACATTATGGTGATATTTTAGAGACATTCTTCTCGAAATCGAAACTCTGTCTTAGTGAAATATTGTGTATATGTCACAATTGGCTACTGAGACGACCAGAATCTGCTACAATTGAGGAAATAAAGAATACTAAGATGTAGACAGTGCAGTGGTGGTATCAGCACTGTCGGAATACTACCTCACAAAAGACCAGTAGAATTACTTCCGCACTTACAAGAGTTGTTCATATTGATGAAACAGTTACTTAATGAATGAAAAGTGAATCGCTGCAGTAGGAGATGAGCAAACCATGTTTGGGTACTGGGACTGTACGATACAAGTCTTCAGAAAGGGTTAGTACAACACATCCCAAACAGAAGTACAGATGTTTTAACACTAACAATACAAGGACTATTCCTCACAGGCACTACTATTCACATAGACGAGTGGATATGTTATTCACAATTATCATCCTTCTGTTATACTCATCATAAAATTAATCATTTTTTTGAATTAGTGGATCCTATAAGTTGAACTCACATAAATCCTATTGAAGAATTCTGGGCCAGTTCAAAAAAAGTGCATTAGAATGATAAATGGTATTATACACCGCCACATTGGTTTCATATAGCTACAGACACCCCCATACTTTACTTTACTTTACTTCGGCTATCTCCTACGGGAGGATGAGCCGGCTTCATGAACATCTCGAATCATCGCTGCCCAGGCGCGGCGATCTGATGCAAGGTTTTGCGACAGGGCTATCCAATTCTTGTTCCACAGACGGAGTCCGTAGACGGTTTGTAGCCCCAAGAGTTCATGAAGTTTCATGGGAATTTGGTACGAGTGATGTCCCCAGAATCGCTCGGCCTTTTGTTTGAGAGTGCAGCTCTAGCCTTTACACAACCAAGTGTGACCTACAAGGCAGTAGGAGTGGAGTGGGGAGTCCACTATCCATTGGAAGCCGGTGACCGGAGTTCGGTTCATACGCCTTTTTGAATGGGGCCAGACATCCAGGATATCCAACAAGCCCTTTGTCCATCCGTCTGCCGGTGAGCTCCAGTGAGCTTCATACACCAGTCGTTGGAGGTTTGGAATCAGGGTTTAGCCATCTCTCCTAGACTGTCATCCAATGGACAGTCAACCCGGTGAAGAGCGCCGGGCATCCGCTTTCGCCCTCTCACTTTGGTGAAAAAACACCTCCGCCACGTGAAGGCAGTGAGTAGGACTTCCTCAGGAGAGACTATGTAAGACGCCCGGTCATATGGGAGCATTTCAAGAGGTGTGCGGAGGGGTGGCCAACCCGCAGCGCAAGGCACCCACCCCCGACCATCCTGAGGCTTTGGAGGCTGACACCCTCATGAGAATCGGGGACCAAGTTTTGCGGCATATTAGAGATATGTACCCTGTATAATTCACTTTTATCACTTATATATCTTATAAATATACTTTTTTTATACAATAAACGTCAATTTTCATCTAGAAGAATCTGATTGGTTCAAGGTCACTTGACTTCAGTATCTGTTCTTTACTATGATGATTTATAACTCTGGACTTCGACGGATTTAAGGCTTTTATTATTACTCGACAACCACTAGGCGCCCACTTACATTCGACTTTCAGCAATAACCTACAACGATTGCGTGTGTAGGCTGACGGCACATTTCGAGTTTGATTAAGACTTGAAGACCTGCTTAAAGCTTGGGTTATCAAACAATCCTCAATCATTATATTGCGTCTAATTTCTCGTGTTCACTTTGTTTTAACCAATTCACCTAATAAAGTATGATCTCGAATAGCATAGTTTACTCTCAGGAATGCTTAAAACCAGCAGATTCGTAAATTTCTACTAAATCCAAGAAAAAGCATCATCCGGAATGGTAATTTGCTTTAAAACGTATTCTAATACATCTGATAACTGTTCCGGAGATTATGAGTACAAACTACCTGTCGAATGACATCAATTGTCAGCAGTGTCCTCCAATTTAGACCACAATACAGGGATTATAACCCTTCAAGAAACCTGGCTCCATGATACATATATATATATATGATAATTTAGCCTGTCTGAATGTTTTCAGATTATTGAGACAAGATCGGTGTAGCTCTAAGATAAAGAAATTCGGCGGTGGCGTCACAACCTTCATCAATCAATCCTCAATCTTATTTTTTGGAATCTCAAGTGACAAAATCGACTGCATAACTTTTATTGATATGGCGACCGAAAAACACCTGTAGAAGTATAACTACATATATATTTCGAACATTTATCTGTCTGTCTGTTTTCGACATAGAACTTTGCACCGATGTGCGGCAGTTCACTCCCTCCTTGTAGCACACAAAGCAACAGAAGAAAGTAGGAGAAATGCATAATATAGACAGTAAACAGAGGTGTGAGACAAAGGAATAGTAATAACGAAGAACAAAACAGTTTCATTGGAAATCATGAGTCACAAGGAGTGGATGCATCTGCACCAATCATTCAGAACGATTTTGAGCCATGTCACCAATTGTTTCCAACCATTGGTTTTTACCATCCCGAGGACCCCAACCACGAAGTCTACACCTTCCTACGTGGCTTAGACTAACTGTTGTAGATTTCATTGACTGTTGCCATGTTTTCGTTTGACCGCCCCTAGCTCTTTTCCAGCCTGACTCCATATCAGCTAACATTGCCCATTGTCGAGGAAGGCGATGACTAGGCATACGTAATACATGTCCTAACCATCTCAGTCGATGTAATTTCACAGCCTCGTCGATTGATTTCCCCTCCTTACCTAGCACTCGACGCCTAACCTCAATATTGCTCACCTTATTATGCCACTTCACGCGGGAGATAGAACGCAGACACCTATAACCAAAGACAGCTAATCTTTTCATGTCTTCCACTATCAATGGCCAGGTCTCACAGCTATAAAGGAGGACGGAGCGGACTGATGAACAGTACACACGCCCTTTGGTCGATAGTCGGATATCACGTCTACGCCAAAGACGGCGTAAACTGGTATATGCGAAACTAGCCCTCTGTATTCGTGCTGAGATTTCGTCAGAGATCAACCCGTTGACGCTGGCTGATGGTACTTCCCAAGTAAGTGAAGCGGTCAACGTGCTCTACCACTTCACTTCCTATTTCTAATCTAGGAGTCGGTGTAGTCCAATCCTGCAGCATCATCTTACATTTTACAGGGGCGAATCGCATGCCAAACATACGAAGATTGTTGCTCAAGGTGTTCAGAAGACTCTGCTCGGTTTTGTCAGCGTCTTCACCTAGAAGGATTATATCGTCTGCATATTCTAAGTCAACGAGATTATTCCCTGGTAGCAAGTCAATCCCTGAGTCTCTGAAGTGAGTTACGCTAAAGTCCATTAGTACGTCTATGATGAAGTTGAATAGAAATGGGGATAATGGGTATCTTTGACGGACGCTTATTTGGATGCAGTCTGTTAAAACTTTTCTTATTTGCTGATGAATTAACTTCCTTTACTATCACCTTCCTTGTCAACCCTTTGTCAATTATTACTGGAGACTTCAATTTCTTCAATTATATCATTAGGTCATGAAAATATTGTCAACTTTTCAAAACAACTAGAAAATACTCTTGACCTAACGTTGACAAATGACTTCGACATATATGAGGCTTGAAAAAGAGCCGCACTACTTGATTCATCTCATTGTATCCTACGAATATCACTCAAAATATATGGAAGTCTGCAGAAAAGGGCCTTCTTGGACCTAGGCAAGAAAACACAATACAGATGTTACTCTCACGACAATATATCGAATTTAACAAGCATGCATAACAATTCTACAATATCTTATTTGGCGGCCGGGAGACACATTTTATATGATGAGAAAAGTGTATTGGACATGACACTACTAAATTACTGTGAAACACTATGTAAACGGTCCTTCTTATTCCTTCTTTCTTCCTTTCACTATTACATTGTTGTTGTCGTCAATATTTTCGCTTATTTTAAGTTTATAATCGTATTCTTATTTAACAATATTATCAATGTGATTGTCCTGTTTTAATTGTTACCCCTGGGTTATGTGATGCGACAATTAGATACAATTGATTTGTATTGCATGCTGCAAAATTCCACATTTGTATCAAAAGTACTGTTGGAAATAAAGCCATTATTTTTAAGTCTTGGTAGATGGCGAAGATTTTGTAATTCCACATCAATTTGTTTATTAGATATATCACACACGCAGTGAAACAGTGTTAATGTTTACTGGATGACCAAGTTTTGAACACAATTTATTATTGTTCATAATCATATCAATCAATTATAACCACACAACTTCAAAACTTCCGTTTTATAGTCTTCCTTATTCCTTCTTATTTGTCATAGAAACAGACTAGAGTACTCCAGATGTCCGCGTGGATAGGTGTTGAACCATTCGCATTACATGTATTTCCAGTTTGATTCGATAAATAAGGCTTTCATTATCAATCGCTCTCTCTGGTCTATGTATTTGACCTGACCATTATTACAGGGTCTTAGATAAACTAAGGTATATTGTTTTATTTGCTCCACAGGATCCTTAACCGACAAAGCTTGTTTCCAATTGAGTTCCAACATTGTTAAGAATTCTGCGTAAGGTTTCCGAGGTTCCTTATTTGTATGGAAGTACTACTGACGATTTATATTCCCTATTGCTAGTGTTGTCATTATTCTGTGCATGTTTGACATGTATGTCGTCATTAATATTATTATTATTATCACTATCAATACCATTATTATTAATTTTATTTTCACATTTTCCTACATACTTCCTGATGAATTTATCAGGGTAATTATTAAGTTTGAAAGCTTCTCTTATATGCCTCACCTTCTATCGATCTTAGATTTTCTTTGGCGCAGATTTTGAACCAATGACCTTGAATCGATTAACTGACTGAGTTTCAACACAGAACTATGCACAGAAGTGCAACAGTTCTATGTGTGTGTGTGTGTGGAGGGGATGGGTGCGTGGGGAGGATGGGGAAGATCGAATAGTGAGGTTTTAGAAAACCACTCGATTAAATCTCTATTCCTCGCCCTTATAAAATTGTATAATTATTATTATTATTTCCTTCAATTCTTAGAGGAACATAGGGCTTCAGCCGTGCGTCTCCATTGCGTTCCGTTCTCTGCTAGAGTCTTCACCTGGCTCCAAGTCTGCCCACACGCTTTCATCTCCTCTTCACATCACCTCCTCCAAGTCACCCCACCTTCACACTGACGACCAACTCGCCGCTTCCCTTTCGGGTTCCACTCGAGCAATGGCTTGTCTAGTGATGTCACTTGATGGATTGTTTCCTCAGAGTATGACCAGCCAATCCATCTCCATTTCTTCCTGCCTATTTGTTTCACAATCGGTTCCTGCTGTGTTAGTTCGCTCATTGCCAGAGATCTCTGTTGCTGATCTTATCTGTTTATTTGATCTTGAGTATTGAGCGAAGACAACTGTTAATGAAGGTCCATAGTTTGTTTGAGATGCTCTTTATGACGCGCAGTGCAAGTCTCTGATCCGTATAGTAAGCAGTACTGACTTCACATTGGAGTTGAAAATCCGGATCTTATTTTTGATGCTGAGTGCTGTAAAATTGTATAAGATCATGACTAAATAAAATATCTTCTCTTATACCATAAAAAATATCATTTTTACTTACTTGATCAGATAGAACTTTATTTTCATTTGTCAAACACTCAATTTTTGAATCTAATGTATCATTTGAGTGTTTCTCCATTCTTTCTATCTCATTTTTAAGTGAATCTATCTCTAACTGATATTTGATAGATTGATCATTCAATTGTTTATCCAATTCTAATTGATGATTATTTTTTAAATTAATAATCATTTCTTGTGAAGTTTTCAACTCTTCAATAACTGTTAACAATTCATTTGATTTACGCGCCAATTTATCTTGTTCAATTTTCAATTGTTCTTCATTCTCTTTGAATTGTTTCAGCAAACTTTCATGATTATTTGATAATTCTATATATTGTTCATTAGATATTTGTAAATCTTGTTTTAATTTTAACTGTTCATCATCTGCATGCAATTGTTTCAAATGAGTTAAATCCTTTTCCAGATTACTTTGTATATTCAATTGTTGTGATAATTTATATTCCAAATCATCTTTTAATTGATTTACTAATTTTAATTCATTGTGTATATTATTAAATTCTACTTCCATTTCAGTATATTTTAATTTTACATCTGTATACTTTTTTATTTCATTTTGTAAATTATTTTCCATATTTGATAATTGATTTATGTAATCAGTTTGAATATTCTCCAATTTTATAGTAAGTTCATTAATATGTTCATTTTGTTCTTGTTCTTTTGATTTGTATTCATCCAATTCACATTGAACAGTAGATAATATTGATTGATTTTTATTTAAATGATCAGTTAATTCATTTAATTGATTTTCTGAATTTATCACTTTTTCATTATGTGTTGTTTGCATTTCACGAATAACCTTGACAAAGTTATCAAGTAGATTTGAAATACCCTCGACATCTTGTACACATTCAATGTTCAACAAATTTAAAGAATCATTATTCAAATGATTGGATAAATCAGATTTGATTTGTTTAATGTGACAGAATAAATTTTCATAGTTTATTTTTGAATTTTCATTTTGTTGTTTAATTTCTGCTTTTAATTGATCAATTTGTTTTAAATGTTCAACTCGAATTGATTCAAGGTGTTCAATATTGATTTGAGCTTCATTCAACTGTTGAGTTAATTGAGATTTTTCAGTGTTTAAGCTACTTAGATCATTTTGTAAATTGACTAATTCAGAATTCAATGTCTCTTTTTCTTTTTCTTCTTTTTTAGCAGATGTTATTGTATTGACTTGTGACTGGGTTAGAGTTAAGATTTCTTTTAAATTGTCCACTTCTTTTTCTAAATGTTTCTTAGCATCTTCAGATTCATTTAATTTCATTTGTAATTCTTTTAATTGATCAGATAAAAGGTGAATTTCTTTAGAGGATTCATCAATCTCCTGTTGTTGCTGGTCTACATGAATTGAACTTGACTCTGTCGTAGTAGTAGTATTTGGTTGGCTGATTTTTAAGTGTGAATCCCCGCCATCAGCAGTAGCACCGGTAGTATTATCAACATCATGATTGCCACTTTCCAATAATTGATTTTTTTCTAATAATTCAGAATTTTTATACGTCAGACTAAAGAATTTAGCTTTTAAACACTGAACTTGTTCTTCTAAGGCTAATTGAGAGAGTTTACTATCAGCTAATTCAGAGCGTAATTTATTAATATTCTGTTGATCACACTGTTAAAAATCAATAAATTAACACAATACAGTTAGACAAAGTGTTAACACACTATCATATAAGTAAAGTATAATGAATCGATTGTAGAAGAATGGCTTTTCTTCCCACAACACCTTGCATATCAACAAAATATATTGAACAATTGCCTGAGTTTCTATCAAACTGGCAATAAATCACACTAATTGTATGAAGGTTTATGATATACTCTGACGATTTAAAATCCTTGGTAGATGAAGCAAGCAAGCTTCAGAATCAAGTCTCTAGACTAGTGTGAGCTACACAGCTGCATTGTTTGTCATTAACTCAATAACTATAGAAAAGTAAAGTGTACAATCGCCTTACAAAGGTGGTGGCCAAACAAAAACATGGCATCAATCAATCCATGAAATCCTTGACAGTTAAACTGAGTCAGGTAGGGAGATGCAGACTTCCGGGTTGGGGCCCTCGGGACTCTAAGAATCAATGACTGGAGACAATAGGTGACATGGCTCAAAATCGTTGTCAATGGCTTACGCAGATGTATTCAGTCTCTGTAATCTTCAGTCTCATATTCCTTTCTACCATTACTCATTCTGTTTCACTCTTATACTTGTCAAAACTCTATTGATTCTCTTCACTCATTTTCTTGTCTACCTTTGTGTGCTATTTGGAACGTGGCAACTCGAACTGCTGCACTTCGGTGCCAAGTTCTATGTTGAATCCAGCCACAAAGGTGTACAGATAGATAGAGAAATACAAGAATCTTGAAATGGGGAGATTGAAACTCAATTCAATGGATGACAAATGATATCAAGAAGAATTTTCACTTAAGACATAAATAAACACGATGATCAGTCACTACTTATATTACATGATACAGATTCATAAGGAAGCAGACAAAACTGTGAAATCAACATTTTAAGTGAATGACTGCAGAGGTAGAAGTGTTTATTCCTTAACTCTGGATTTAATTGGTTTATTTCCATTATGGATAAGATTTTATTTTGATAAACTGTCACACAGTGTTTGTTATACAGTAATATTAACTGATGACCATGTTTTGAGCACAAATTATTGCCACTCATAATCATCATATCAAGGCACTACTCACACAACTTTCTTGCTTCATTTATATACATAAGTGGAATTGATTAGATATTTCAATAAAACTAATATAGGATAATGTACACTCAGAAATAATAATATAAGTGTTATCAATGAATTACAATCAGATGGGAAATAAGATGAGTGTTTTTATAGTCATAATAAGTAACTTGTTAGAATGTTGTGATGTAAATGAATTGAACTGAAATAGAATTTTAAGATTATTTATTATCCTCCTCTGATTTGACTGACTGGTGGTAATAATATCTTCTATATTTCTGGTATTTGCGTTGAGTCATTTCTGTTGCATGTGTTGTGTGAGGGGTAGACTCGATGAACAAGACAGGATTCAGTAATCAATCTCTCTCCACCTACATAGATTACTTCTTAGAATCTTAACCCTCTCCCACCCTATTGTGCTGTTGCATGCAGTGCAATCGCTGAGGTTTTTTCTAAACTACTTATCTTCTCGGGTGGGGTAAACCATTCTTACCTTAGCTAAATTCTTATGTTCTGATAATCTCACTACTCTTGATCTACTGTTTTGACTGACCTATGTAGTTGATCACACTCACAGTCATTGCAAGGTATTCTGTAAATTATGTTATTTTGTTTAATTGGGTCCACTGGGTCTTTTAGCCTACAGAGCTTGTCCCTGAGTGAGTTTGTAGGTTTGAATGCCACTCTAATTCCTGCTTTATTCAGAATCCTACGTAGGGTCTCAGATGTCCCCTCCTTATATGGTATTACAGTAGATGACTTATATTCTCTCTTATTTATGTTATCATTACTAGTTCCACAATTATTTTTATTTTGCTTCTGACCTTTTCTGATCTTCCAAATGAATTTTTTAGGATAGTTATTTGATACCAACACTTCTTCTTCTATCTGTTTTATTTCGTCATTCAGGTCTTTTCTTGTACTACTTAGTGCTACTGCTCGGTTTGTTAAACACTTAAATAAGCCTGCCTTAACAGTTAACATATGAGATGAATTAAAGTCTAAATATCTCTTAGCAGAACGCGTTGGCTTTTCATAAACGCTAGTGTGCAGTTTACCTTCTTCTGTTCATTTGATTTTACAATCGAACACAGCTAATTATCCTTGTTGAATAACTATCCCATAAAATTCATTAGGAATATCAAAAAAGGTCTAAAGCAAAATATAAATAATGGTGAAATAGTAGTAGTAGTAGTGTAGAGTAGTGCCTTGATATGATGATTATGAGTGGCAATAATTTGTGCTCAAAACGTGGTCATCAGTTAATATTACTGTATAACAAACACTGTGTGACAGTTTATCAAAATAAAATCTTATTCATAATGGATTTATACTCTACCATTGTGCCCAAGTTTTACACTTATATTAATTGGTTTATGTTATGGACATAAATTAACCTCTCATTGGACAACTTATTTGACCTTGGGCCAATTGCCAGTCAATCAGAACGATTTATTCTCCTCTGATATAGCTGAACTTGGCTAAGAATGTATAAATGTGGTGTGCTTTTCCTTAATAAAGGTCCGCTACGAAGTCTCTTATCGTCTCCCACTACAAATTTACCTCGAAAAATCTTTCAAATAAAGACTCAAAGTAAGATAAATGTCGACAGAGAATAGGACTCTAAAGGTGAAGTTGTAGATCACTGAAATTTTTTCTAACTTTGATAGTATCATAGATGAATAAGGGTAATGTTCGGCTGTTTGAACTTAGTTACCTGGGAGAGGTTTCTTATACACCAGAGTGTGAGCAACACTCCTTTATGTTAAGGATGATGTTACTACCCTAATGCTTATACTGAAGTAGGTCAAGCAGGACTCAAACCCAAGACCTGTTGATAATTTCAAACCATTTTTAATTAAAAAGGTCAAACCAATTAATCTGTTAGACAGAAATCGTGATCAGAGGGTCTTCACACCGGCTAGGATGTGAGGGCAAAATACTTACTGATGACACACATTGGCTGGCAGTCGTGCTAAATATCACGAATTGAACTACGTTAGAATTCGCAGACCATTAGAATGGTCAACAAGCTCACTTCATAACCTAAAGGTCGGCTGGGTCATGGACGCATATTGCTGAAGAGTCCTAGATTGAGGCGAAACAGTTATCCAGCAATACTTGGTTTTCAATGGTCTTCTAATTGACCAATCAAAACCCTACAAAATAACACTTAAAAGTCAATCAATACATCAAAACCTTGTGAACAGAATGTCTCGCTATTACACATGTGATTACACTTCAACTATTTTCGATGATAGACTTCACTGTTAGCCACGTTAAAAACTAAGTGAATTTTAAAAAAAACGTTATAGATATTTCCATTGAAGTACAGAACGACAGATTGACTTCCACATTTCAAACAGTAATTGGATGATCATCTGAAAATATACCTTTTAAAGATTCTCACTGATAAAGATGCGTATTCACCAATACAGTTAAATGGCCAAGTTAAACTTTGAGCACCACTAACTACCAATCAGCGAATAACCTTGAATGGTCTAATGAGTTTCATCCGTGTGAGTTGAAGGTTCTATTCCGCTTGATTCGAGTCAAATGCCTGATCTAACGCAGTTGCGCTTGTAGTTTAGTGAAGATAAGGTTTTGCAGTATTGCCTGGATTCGGGGTTGCTTAGGAAGGAGGGAATTTTTGCATGTGATGGTGTCAAGAGTATAAAAAGCTTCAGCTGTCGTTGAGCAATCTGTCTGAGACGAGTTAGTGTCAGGGAAGGTAAGTTGATGATTCTAATATTTCACAGGAAAATGTTTTGCCAGATCCCGTCTGTCCTTAACCCAGATTTTGTGTATTTGTTATTACTGGGTTTTAAAACAACCTGTGAGAGGCGCAGCTGCTGAAACTGAAAATAGGCTCGTATCAACAGTTCAGTGGTACCAGCACCACAGAGACACCGCGTCATAGAGGAGGTGTCATCGTACACATGGACGAAACCATCCTATTGAAGAAAAAATACAATCGTGGTCGTGAGCGAGTAAGCAATGTTTGGGTGATCGGCTTATGTGACACCTCTCTACAGAAAGGATTCGTCGCGAGAACAGCAGACAGAAAGTCAACTATCTTAGTACCCATTATCACTCGACTGAAGAAACAGGGATCTATAATACACACCAATGAGTGGAAAGGTAAAAACTCCCTGTCATCCCTTGGATATATTCATCAGAGATTGAACCATTCTAATGATTTTGTGGATCCTAATACAGGGACACACACCAATTCTAACGAAGGATTTTGAGAAAGGTTAAAAACAGGATTAGGACCATAAATGAATCTCAAAAGGATGTCACTTATAGTCATTTGGATGAAAATATGTAGTGTAACTTTTCAGTTGATGACTCCTATGCTTAACTGCGAGATGTTTTCATCACATCTCAGAAAAAGATAGCCTAAGTAACAGTTTTAAGCAGTTTTTATGCATTTTTCTCATAAATATATATGTTTTCCATAACCAAAAATGCTTCTTTCATGTGATTGGTCCGTTGAAGGTCATTCGCTGATTGGTAGTTAGTGAGTGTTGCTTAAAGTTTAACCTTGCCAGTTAAATGACGTTCACACATGCCATCCTTGGTTCAAACAAGTAAAATAATCACAAAAAAATTATCCATTCTACAACTTCATTTCTAACTTGATATCAAAACAAGTGACTAACTAGAGTTTACAGCATACAATAAAATTACAAATGTTAAATAAAGCCATTTCTACATTTTACTGTTCATTATTATTATTATTATTGTTCCCTTGGGTTCCTAGTGGAACATACGGCTTCAACTGCACGTCTCCACCTGTTTCTGTCTTCTGCTGTACTTTTCACCTGCGTCCCTGTTAATCTATACTGTTTCAATTCCTCTTCGCACGATCTCCTCCATGTCACCCTTGGACGTCCCACTCGCCGCTTCCCTT